ATTGGCGGATCGATCCCAGACCTTAATGCCATCCGCGAGAAGCTCGAGCCTGAAGGCATCAAGTGTGTCAACGTCGATGTTCCCTTTGCCTTCCACACCGCGCAGATGGACGCCGTCCGGGAACGCCTCGCCAAGGCCGTCGCCGCCGTGCCCTTCAAGACCCCCAGCGTCCCCGTCCTCTCTCCCCTGTTGGGCAGCGTCGTTTTCGACGGCAAGTCCATCAACACAGAGTACATCGTGCGGGCCACCCGCGAGCCCGTCCAGTTCGCGACTGCCATCGACGCCGCCCAGGAGCTCGGCATCGTCAACAACCAGACCCTCTGGGTCGACATCGGCCCGCACCCCATCTGCGCCAGCTTCGTGCGCAGCCTGGTGCCTGGCGCACGTATCGTCTCCTCCTGCCGCCGAAACGAGGACAACTTTGCCACCATGGCGAAGAGTCTCTGCACGCTGCACTTGGCTGGCCGCACCCCCTCTTGGGCCGAGTACTTCCGTCCCGACGAGCAGGCCTACTCTCTGCTCCGCTTGCCCAAGTACCGCTGGAACGAGGTCAACTACTGGATCCAGTACCTGGGAACCTGGACCCTGGACAAGGCGCATATCAAGAACGGCAGCAGCCAAAAGCGCGCTATCACCGATGTTCCCTCCGTCTCTTCTCTGCGCACCTCCCTTATCCACCAAGTCACCGAGGAATCTGTCGACAAGACCACTGCCACTTTCAAGGCCATCTCCGACATTCAGCACCCCGACTTCCTCGAAGCCGTGCACGGCCACACCATGAACAATTGCGGCGTCGCCACCTCCTCCATCTGGACAGACATGGCTATGACCGTCGGCGAGCACCTATACCGTCGCTTGGTTCCGGGCACTGACAACGTCCTCATGGACCTGTGCGACTTCGAAGTCCAACACGCCCAAGTTGCCAACACCAACTCGAACACTCCGCAACCACTGGCCTTTGAAGCCCATCTCGACCTTCCCACCCGCCATATGTTCCTCGCCTGGTACGACGTCGATGCCACCACCAACCAGCGCGCCGCAGCCCCCTTCGCCACCGGCAGCATCAATTACCCTGCCGACCCAACCGGCGCTGCCTGGTCCACGGAATGGTCTCGCATCACCCACCTCATCCAGGGCCGCATCGACGCCCTGCAGCACATGGCCGCGGAGAACAAAGCCAGCACACTTTCCAAGCCGCTCGCTTACGCCCTCTTCAAGAACGTCGTCGACTACGCCCCCCGCTACCGTGGCATGGACCGCGTCGTCATCCACGACCACGAGGCCTTCTCCGACATCACCCTTACCACCGACCGCCACGGCACCTGGCACACCCCTCCCCACTGGATCGACAGCGTCTCGCACCTGGCAGGCCTGGTAATGAACGGAAGTGACGCCTCCAACACTAGGGATTTCTTCTACGTCACCCCTGGCTGCGGTAGCTGCCGCATGACGGAGCCTTTGATCCCCGGAGGCAGGTACCGTAACTATGTCCGCATGTTCCCCATGCCGGACGAGGCCCACATGTACGCGGGTGACTTGTACATCCTCCGCGAGGACAAGATCATCGGTGTCGTGGAACAGCTCAAGTTCCGTAGAGTGCCCCGCTTGTTGATGGATCGATTCTTCTCGCCGAACAAGAACGCCGCTGCGCATGCTGCTCCTGCTCCTGCTCCTGCCGCTGCTCCGGTGGTGAAGAAGCAACCCCTCACTCCTACACCCACGGAGACTGTTACTTCCCAGCCGGCCAAGACAGAGCAGAAGCAAGTCCAGCTCCAACTTCCTAATATTACCTCCGCTGCACCCTCGACAGCTAGCAGCTCATCCTCTCCCTCATCCAGCGGCGTCGCAACCCCCACAACTGAACAGGAGGCCCCCGTCGCCGATGCCTCAGCAGTGACTGGTATGGCTGGCAAGTGTCTGGAATTGAATGCCAACGAGACAGGCCTGGGTGTGGCAGAGCTTACTGCGGACGCGACATTCGTACAGCTGGGTGTGGATTCACTCATGTCGCTGGTACTATCGGAGAAGTTGAGGAGTGAGATGGGATTGGAGATTAAGAGTTCGTTGTTCTTGGAATGTCCTACTGTGGGGGACTTGACGGGATGGTTGGAGCAATACTGCTGATGTTTAGCCTTTTGTTGGTTTTGGCTGTTTGCTTCTTGTATTGTTGGACATTGTAACTAGAGGAGTGAAGAGTAATTGCATTGCTGTGACCTATCATTTCCGAGCACTTGATTAGAATATCAGAGTAAATGCAGGAACTAATCTTGAAAGGTTTCCGGCGGATAGGTATGAAGGGGGCTACGGAAAGGGGTTACTAGAGCATAAGAAAAATGATGTTAGACACCTTAAATTACAAGGACTTAAAATTTTTCAGTTGGAGTCCATACCCATGATTAGTAGACTGGGACTTGGCATTATTGATATGGTGGTAAAACCAGGGTGAACAGAAAGGGTATGTATGTCTCTCAAGTACTATCATAGTGGATGTATTTCCATGATGGTTCATGGGATATTCGGCGTTCGGGATCATATTCTTTGCTTCAAACGGTGAAGCACCTGCATAGCTAGCATCTTACCTAGGCCGGCTCGATTGGGTATAAGAATATGGAATGAAATGAAATGAAATGAAAAAATGGAATATCCATAAAGAGGCTTCTTTCTTCTATGATGAGTAGATGTTCATGGGAAGGTGCAAGTAGCTAATTAGGAAAGTAGATTGGTATTCTTAAAATTGCTAATAATAGCTATGCCAGCTTATCCAACAAAAACATCTCTGACTTTTCATCCAAACACGACATACGAGAGTAAAAAGAGAGAGGAGATCTAATACATAACCAATCCGAACCAGCAACAAACAAACCCAGCCCAATCTAATCCATGCACAAACAAACCAACAAAAACGACCAATCACACACTGAACACCAAAGAGAGAAATTTCAGCCAGAAGCATACCTCGACATCCCCCTCAACTTCGCGCCCCAAAACCAAAACACCCAAGGCGCCGGCACCCCAATCCCAATACTCAGAAACCCAAGCAAGCTATTTCCCCATCCATACTGCAACTTGTTATACATATACGGCGCAAACAACGGAAAACTAAACCCCGCCAGACTCCTCAACACAACCGCAGCCGCCAACCCACTCGCCGCAAACCTCGTATAACTATCAATCACATATGTTTGCATACATTGCAGACACACAATGCTCCCAATACTGAACAACACGATGCCAATGTTAGGCATAATCCAATGGATATGTGCTTGCACACTCCACCCATACCAGAACAACCCGACGGGGATGAACAACGAGCCCACGAACATAGCAGGAATCCGGAACTCAGGAAGACCGGTGTTATTCCGCTTCGCCTTAAGCTGTTTGTAGATGCGGTCGCTAGCGCGCGCGTTGACCTGAGCACCAAGCACGAACCCAATGCCCAGAGAAATGTAGTTCAGACCGCCGATGCCGACGCTCTCGCCGTAAACGTTCTCCCAGACCTGGGGGAAGGTGGACAGGAGTAGGTAGAATAGCCCGAAGAGGTACGCCATGTACAGCGCGATGACCTGTACGATGGGCTGCGTAGTAAGGAGAATGAATGGTCTAACGAGGGCGCGTTGCAACGTCGACATCAAACTTGTGTTCTGGGTGTCTGCCTCAGTGTGGTATGCTTCGTCACCGGTCTTCTGGCGTAGGGTTCGGGCGCGCCGTTTAAGCAGAGTCGGTGCGTAGGTCTCGGGCAGGAAGGCCAGCCCGATTAGTTGGATCACGGCGCCCGCGATGCTAGTAGCCCAGAAGACCCACCTCCAGGTAGTTGTTTCAGCGATGAAGCCGCCCGCGATGGGGCCCACGACGGGGCCGAGGAGGGGGGCAAGGCTGTAGATACCGACGGCTTTGCCGCGTTGGTCGGCATTCCAGCAGTCGCTTTCACAATGTTAGTTGTTTTATTGGAGAAGGGGACGGGTGGAATGAAAGAAGGGAAGTGGAAGGGCATACCTGAGAACACCACCGCCGATAGCCAACGGCGCACTGCCCGCAATGCCACTCATGAAGCGAAACGCGATCAACTGCCCCGATGTCTGCGCGAACCCGCACCCCAGGTTCCATGCCACATAGCACAAGTTACTACATTGCAGGACGTAGGCGCGGCCGAAGAGTTCGGATAGCGGGCCGAAGCATAGCGGGCCGACAGCGTAAGCAAGAACAAAGACGGAGAGACTTAGTTCGGATTCCACCTCTGAGGTGATGTTGAGTTCTTTCGCGATTTTGGTCAAGGCCGGGGAGATCATGGAAGAGGAGACGGGAGAGATAAAGGTGAAGAGCGATACGGTGATGGTTACGGCCCATTTCTTGCTCATGCTCCAGTTCTTGGGGTTTTCGCGGTCGTCCATGGCCCATGTTACCTATAGTAGTATATCACTGTTAGTATGTTGATGATATTGGTATGAAGAGCAGACTAACTAGGTGGGCATCTTGGTCTGGGAAGAGTCGTCTCGTGTCGTTGAGGGATACTTGGGATGGAGCGGCCTCCAACGGGACTGATTCTGTGGATGGTTGAGTGATGGTTAGTTAGGGTCTTGGCTGGTGTTGATGTTCCATAGGGCTGGCGTGGAGATGGATGGGTCCGCATCACGGAAGGAGACATACCTCCTTCTTTGGCTGCCATCTTGCAGCAATTGATTTCAGAGATGATCGCCAATTATTGAGAAGTGTCTGATTCTATTAGAATGGGATTGATATTTTACTGAACGAAAAGAACGAAGGGAACCCTGCTCAAGTGCAGACTCTCTTATACCTGATTCCTGTCGGCTTTTAAGACGGCTTAAAACCCGAGTAGCCTTATCCTTGAGGCAGCAAATTACCGTTTGCGGCTACAAGCATAGGCATTGCCTCATTCGGGCTAGTGGCCAGCACGTGTTGGTGCAACGTGAACTAGTCCCATTCCAGACAGACGCGTGTTTGATTGAGGCTCATTGCTTAACCGTTTCCTTCCTTCATATCAACTAAGCCTTCTCAATATGACTCGCGTCCATCTTCACATCATCCCCATCCACCTCCACCAATTCCATTCCCATCATCTCCCTCGAATATATAGTAACCTTCCACCAATGTTCCGGATCACCAAATAACCGATCCATCTCCTCCAGCGATCGACCCTTCGTCTCCGGAAAGACGAAATAAACCATAAAAGCAACACTAAACCCAATCACCGCATACACAATATAATACCTCCACCTGATCGTCGCAAACACAATGGGCGTAATCTCTGCAATGACAAAATTAAACAACCAATGGGTCGCCGTTCCAATCGCCGCCAAATGAATCCTCAGCTCTTGGGGTGCGATCTCCGGCGCATACAAGAAATTAGCAGCCAAGAACCCAAGCGGGAAGAAAGACATAAGAGAAAGAACGTCGCTGCGATACTAGCACCGTACGTGTACCGGTTATCAATTGCCCAGACTGTTCCAGTGAGTCCGGCCATGGATGTACCCATCCCCAACGCGGAGACGATGAAGAGTGGTTTGCGGCCGAAGCGGTCAACGGAGAGGTAGGCCGAGAGAGCAGCGAAGATTTTCCATGTTAGGACGCCGGCGCTCAGGATAGCTGCTTTCTCTGCTTCGAGGCCTAGGGATTCTTGGAAGATGGTTTTTCCGTAGTAGGTTATCACGTTGGCACCAGTCATTTGAGCGCTGAAGTTGACGGCAACGGCGAGGAAGAGACGGTAGAACAGGCGTTGAGGTCCCCGTTTGAAGAAGTTGACGAAACCGTATTCTGATGTAGATGATTCTCGGAGAGCGAGAGAGATGGTTTCGATTTCGGCGTCAATCGCTTCGTAGCTAACTATGTGCTTGTCGGCTAGTGCGTGCATGGCGGCGCGGGCTTCTGCCTTGCGGCCTTTGCTGATGAGCCAGCGGGGTGATTCAGGGAAGGACAGGGTAAATGCCAGGAGCAGCAGGGTGAAGACGATTGGTAGTGCCAGAGGGAGGCGCCAGAATACCTCACTCTCTTCTACAAACGAGAGCCCCACGTTCACCCAGCTAGCCATGGCAACTTCTGAGGCAATGAAAACGCCGATAACAACGACATTCTTCCCTCGACTCTTGGGCTTTGTGCACTCGCTCTGCCAAACTGGGACGACAGCGTTTACACCACCAATCCCGATTCCGGAAACTATACGTCCCACGACAAGTTGAGCTATATGGTAGGACGTAGCCTGTATGACTAGACCGATGGTAGCTACTGCAGCAACGGTCATGAGGAATTTGCGTCGTCCGATGCGGTTCCCGAGCTGGGTGATCGAGAGGGCGCCGATGAGGCATCCGATGGTGTATATGGCGACGACGGTTCCTATGAAATAGATGGTTAGGAACATTGTTGGGAGTATGGATGTGTGAACATGCCCTGGATGGTTGCATTGTGGTTCTTGATGGAACCAGTGGTGTTACTCGTATCTATCGGTGGAAAGTACTTGATGAATGACGGGTAACCGAGCACTCCACCTATATTGGATTGATTGTAGCCGTATAGGAGAAATGCAGGGGCAACTATAAGACATATACGGGCTCTAGCTAACGATGAGCCGGTGAGACTTGCGAAAGTCATATTGACGAGGAAGTGGTGGTAGACACGATGGGTGCAATATATATTTTGATGAAACTGTGCACATGAACGAATAGCCTCTGATTATGAGATCCAGCGAGTCTCTCGATAGAAGAGAACAATGAAATAAAAGGATCTAAAAGCAGTTCTTAAATAACACAGCGTATAGTATCTTACACACTCCCATAACATTCAACAAAGACACGTACTGTCAAGCATCATGCGGAATCAGACGCTACGAAGCTCAGAAACTTGGCTATACCCCGCAAAATTACCCCAGATTGCTCCATAAACATGCATTCAGAATGTACAAAGTAATACATAGTACATAACATGAGCATCGAATGTTGTGAGGATGAGCCTAAACGTTTTGCCATGGCACCGAAATCTGAACCATGGGTGGAGGAGGTTTAGCCGTAACCTACTCCGACGGCAAATGCCCTGCTCGGGACAGACAACCGCCATGGTTAATCTTTCCTTCAAAGATCAAATTAAAGATAGATAAACGTAATACGTTGATCGCCAACAAAGCCATAAAACATGAGGCTCGGACAGAAAGCAGCGTGGACTCTCTTCCCTCGCAGCACCATCAGAACCATGTCGTCGGCTAAGCCCCGCATTCTCTTCTTCAATCCCGTGAGACACGCAGTGCCGTTCTACGAGAAGCTCCAAGAGCATGCTCACACAGAGGTGGTGACAAGTAAAAGTCGGGAGGAGTTTTTCAAAGATGTCACAGAAAAATATAAAGACATCTTTGCCATTTATCGAACATCCGCTAGCGGTGCTGTAAGTAACACCCTCACCCATTGTACAGACTTCTGGTCTCAGTAAACTAATATGTTACTAAAGGTAGCTGGAAAGTTCGATGCCGAACTAATCAACCACCTCCCATCAAGCTGCAAATACATCTTCCACAATGGCGCAGGTACGTGAGTCATGTAACACCCTAGAAAAACCCCACTGACATATGACTACAGGCTACGACCCCATCGACACCGAAGCCTGCGCCAAACGAGGCATCATCGTCACCAACGCCCCGGACCCAGTGACAGATGCAACCGCTGACCTAGCTATCCTCCTACTCCTGGGAGCTCTGCGAAACCTTAACCCGGCACTTCTCTCCCTTCACGCCGGGACCTTCAAACAAGGCGTAGGTTTCGGCCACGACCCTCAAGGAAAGACGCTAGGTATCCTCGGTATGGGCCGAATCGGCCGTGCTATCAAACAGCGCCGCGAACCTTTCGGCATCAAGACTGTTTATCATAACCGTCGTCCCTTGTCTGCTGATCTGTCTGCCGGGGCCGAGTACGTCTCCTTTGAGAAACTGCTCACTGAGAGTGATATCATCAGTATTAACGTGCCCTTGAATGCGAATACGAAGCATTTAATTGGCTCAGCGGAGATCGCGAAGATGAAGCGCGGCGTTGTGATTATCAATACGGCTCGTGGTGCTATTGTTGATGAGGCTGCTATGGCTGATGCCCTGGAGAGTGGGCATATTGGTGCTGTTGGCTTGGATGTGTATGAGAGGGAGCCGGAGATCAATGAAAGGCTCGTGAAGAATGAAGGTGCGCTATTGGTGCCGCATATTGGGACACATACGTATGAAACGTTGGCGAAGATGGAGGAGTGGGCGATGGAGAATGCGAGACGGGCGATTGTGGGTGAGGTGTTGTTGTCCCCGGTTCCGGAGCATTGGGGGTTGGTGAATGGGAAGGCTTAGAACTGTGGATAACTTGATTTGTCTGTCAGACGTAACTTTGTGTTTGTGTTTACATTCGAAAGAATACAATTGTGCATTGAGTTGTTTGCATTAGCGGCTGTCCAGAGGTGATTTAATCATCTACCAGAATATATAGAGTAATTATTCTGAAAATGCTTGCATCATGCATACACATATAAATCATGATTCAGACATACATCACTCGATCATTGCATCATCACGACCGACTCTGCTGGTCGAATCGCACGTTGTCAATTGTGCCAGCGTTATGTCCCATCTGGATTCCAAAGTTCTCCCCTGTGAAGATAACACAGTTATTGTAGGTAATCGTAGACTGATTGGCCTTGACAACTGTTTCACTCGAAAGATCATCCTGGCTAGCATAAGTCTCTTTAAGGAGTGACAGACCAATCTTGACCTTGTCCATCCGTGAAGCTTCATTCTTATAGATCCCGCACTGCTTATTTTCCGCTGGGAATAATTCAGTCAAATCGTTGACCAGACCACCTATGTCTTGGATCAACCGCGAGAAATCCTTCATCTCGTAAATGGCCAGGGCCTCATTCTGGTTGACAATGAATTCACCCTCCTGCCCCCCAATGATATCATTGACTTGCTGATGAGACGATTCAGAGGTTCTGGCCAGCTCCTGACTGGGATCCATATTCGGAGATGCGGGATTCTTATTCCTGAAGCAGCCCGAAAGCTTATCCGCTTCCCTGATCAGCTCCAGTATTTCACCGAGGAGATCTTGCATTTCTGGAATGTCTTCACGAGCGAGATTTATTTCGTGAGCAGACCCACATCGTTCAGATCAGTCAAACCCACAAACCTCCCCCACCGAGTTAGGCGCAACTTAACCACATCAAGTTTCAGTAGACTCGTCCGAGCTTCCTTGCCAAAATTAATTCCAACCTGAAGTGGCTCCAAAAATCTCAGCGCTTGGCTGAATAACTTGGCCTGCTCAGACAATTGGTCCATCATTACTCGTTGCATACCAATCATCTCCCTCTGCATGTCCATCAGGTCGTCCTGTTTGGATGGGATTTCTTGAGTCTTCTCTTGAATGGTATCTGTAATCGACCGGATTGCTGCGGTTCTTTCATCAATGCGTCCAGCTCTGGCGATTAAGCGCTCTAAATTGCCGTTTATGCTTTCGACAGCTGTCTTAATCGCATCGACACTCTGCAAAGTCGACAGTCCAGTGGCTAGGCTTCTCTCGTTGAGGGTCGCCTCTTTTTCTTCGCTTGCTGCAGCCTGTTCGCCATTATTTCTCCTTAGCAGACCATCGAACCATTTCCCTGTTTCGCATAAGCTTATGTACGAAATGACATAGAAAGAGGAAACGTACTAATCCGTTTCTTCTTCATATACTTTTGCGTGCTGGCGCAAATGTCAAGTGTACAGGAGAAGACGCGCCTAATGCATCTCCGAGATTGAAGCAATTTCGGCATCTTCTCATGAAGAACAGACTACCGGTCGGGAATTCCACGGTTTGACGTGGAAGACTCATGAAGTGTGTTATAATCCATAGACAAAATAACCAAGGTCTCTGCGCGCATACTTGGGAAACCAATAGTATAAGTCGCCTACCCGCCACAGGTCATCGATCGTGATTGGCATTGAGCGACATCCCATGCATGGTTCAAGATCCAGCGGCGGCTTTCCCGTTATCCAATCTAGTGTCCCGTCGGCACACCATGCTTGCCAGCGCGTACAGAGTAACTCTACCCCGCTAGTGGTGGGGAACTAAGCCCTTAGTGGCTGCTTGGCTTTGGTCTGTACGCTGATTCCGAGACCTGAATCGTTCTGTCCTGACCACGCACATTGTGACAACTGACTTAGCCTTGTAGCTTCCAGACACGCCAGGTAGAAATTACCGAAGTAACAGCACTAATTCGTCCATCCCTTGCAGTAGCAGCAACGACCGCGGCGGTAAATAAGAGGTCCACGCAGGCCACTAATGTAAAATCTCGACGGCAACATAGTACAGTTGCATGTCCATGCCATCTAATTTTAGATACGAAAACCGGCGAATGGATGACAGCACATATCCAAGATGTGCTTCACCCATATAGGATGGCTACGCCGCATACTATCCTCTTTTGTTTCCCCCTTTACCTCAGCGCAGTTCTCCTTCTCAGCTCTCAGCCACCAACAATAGAGCCCTTTATGATCCTCCTAGTCATCAGTCACTCCGACGGTTGAGTACGTGTGTAGTGAAGCGGGGAAATCATATCCAGGGCTCAGTATCATACTATCGTTCGTTGCGGCTAGACTTGGTGGTGCATTAGTGCCAAAATATAAGCGCCAATACAGTCTGATGCAGATCGTAATCTGGGCTTCTTACACAACGATTGGTTTGTTTAATTGCTGGCCCCTCCTGAAACAGAGTAAGTGGTAAACGTGTGAGAGTGCGTGTGCTCAAATTATTTTACATATTGATTGTTTTTGGAAGATCATTGTATGGGAGAGGTGAACAATAAGAAAGACATTCGCAATTCGTATGCCCAAGTAGGGCCATACTATCTACTTGCCTGCAGATCCAAAAGAGAAGCCACGGATCGTTCCCAAAACCTGTCCCAGCTAAAAAGCAGAGTTGTTAGACCCGGCGAACGTAGTATTATCGATATTAGTACCCCCCTCTTGCGGCTTTGACAGAACGGCCAACCAGGTTTTTGAAGGAATTAAGGCTGTCTTGAATTCCTTATCATTTTCATACTTGAAGCAACTCATGCCGTGATGGTTATATTCAATGCGAACAGTTCGATTCTGGGTTTCGGGCAATGCAGCCACGGCTGGCTTAACGATTTTGATTTCCTGGCGATAGCGCGGGACGAAGTTCACGACATATGGCTGTGGACTAGTGCAACCCGAAGCCATGACCTAAGTTATTGATTGAATCTGGCTCCGACCCGAGCCCAGCACTTTTATGGCAAAATCTATTTTCCAGGCTTTTGACAACAATTACACTGCGAGTAGAGCAGCAGCCGGGTAGCAAAAGAGGGCCATTACTGAGGATTTGTGAAAGGCTTTGGAAAACCATGAAGAACCGAGGAAAATATAATTTTCTCAAATCTGAAGTGGTTTCTCAATACCGGTAGAACATTTCAGTCATCCCGCATTGTAATCCAAGCTCAGGAATCATGATCTAATCCTATGGGGTTGAAACTGAAGAACAATCAGCCAGACATGCTGTGTCGAGTTCCCCTAGCCCGCCGGCTATACTTGGACCGTGCGGGTGAACGTTCACCCACCGAGCTTACAGCATGTTTCATGATGTGTACTACCGGAAAATCGCCAGTAATAAGAACAGGATATCGTCTACTCCATTGCTAACGCAGGATCTCGGTCATTAAATCGATTCAATAAATCTGCCAATTTGATCCAAATACAACGACCATACAAATCATCAACATGGTGAAAATTGCACTTCTTGGCGCCGCGGGCCAGATAGGCACGCCCCTCAGTCTTTGATGCAAAACAGTATGATGGACAAAGAATTTACAGGAATGAACATAATTCAGAATATGCTGGTTGACACTATGCAGAGTGATTTATTTGATGAGATTGCCTTGTACGATATTGTTCATGTCCCGGGCATTGCTACGGACTTGATGCACATCGACACCAAAGCCAAGGTTACTGGCTATCTTCCGGCTGATGATGGACTGAAAAAAGCCCTTACTGGCGCTGATGTCATCGTTGTCACGGCTGGTATTGCGCGTAAGCCGGGTATGACTAGAGATGGTGAGTGACGACTACTATTTACATTTATATATATAGTAATAACCAGTTACTAACGGGTGCCCGCGTCTAGATTTATTCAAGGTGAGACAACAACTACCCAACAGAACCAATATATCATATGCTATTTGGGATGTTCTCGCCAGAATAAGCATCATCTAACTAAGTAAAACTAGACAAATGCTCACATCATCCGCTCAATCTTCACCGAAGTCGCAGCAACATGCCCCAAGGCATTCTGCTGCGTCGTCACCAACCCCGTCAACTCCACTGTCCCCGTCGCCGCCGAGACTCTCAAAAGAGCAGGTGTCTTCGACCCGACTCGCCTCTTTGGCGTCACTACCCTAGACGTCGTGCGGGCATCTACTTTCGCCGCACATGCCACAAACACCGACCCCAAAGCCTACAAAGTCCCTGTCATCGGCGGCCACAGCGGAGCTACCATATTGCCGCTTTACAGTCAGGCTCAACCACCAGTCACTCTTGATGAGGAAACTTTGGCGGCTATTATTAACCGTATGTATCCCACTGTCAAGTATTCATTACCTTCGGGAAGCAGATGCTAATGTAATGGAATTGAAGGGGTGCAATTCGGGGGTGACGAGATCGTGAAGAGTAAGCAGGGCGCGGGAAGTGCTACTACATGCATGGCGTATGCGGGATTCCGCTTCATCAAGGCTATTTTGGCAGCCATGGGTGGAGAAACAGTTACCGAGGAAGCCTATGTCTATCTTCCTGGTGTTCCTGGTGGTGAGGAGATTGCGGCTAAGCTTGGGGTGGATTATTTTGCTGTTAAGGTTAAGATTGGAAAGACAGGGGCTTCGAAGGCGCTGTCATTTGGTGAGGTTTCTGTGAATGAGAGGAAGCTTCTGGGAGTTGCTATCGAGGGGTTGAAGAAGGATATTGCTATGGGGTTGGCTTTGGAGTAGGAATAGATTTCCGTCTTGGGAGTCTACTTGATAGTAACCTATGGGATGTATGTATTTTGGGTTCCTTTTGTAGAGCTGGATACAGTGCCTTGAAACTATGGACTATGCTCCGTCTCATTAACTGCTCCTCAGTGTAAGAAGATGGCATTGTTATGACAAGTGATGACGCATAAATAGGCTCACTTCACTATGTACAAGCAACAGATAATAATAAGAAATGGTAGAGAATTTCCCAAAATAGGCACAAATCTTGAGATTGAACCGTTTGTCAAATAGAGCGCAATCCGGGAAGACCTTCAAGGAGGTGGCCACATGCCATCGACATGTTCCGGCTTTCTGGGTATCGGGTATTCGTCAACGACCTTACCGCCTTCCCACCTGGCACTAACATCGAGCTTCTGATTCAACGCAAAGAACGTGTCCCAATTCTTGCAGGTATGGTATGTGTTGAAGTTCGGGTACGGGATGTCCAAGCCTTGCACCCAGTTGTAAGTCACCAAGGAGAGGTCATCGTTGCACATTAGGGTCTGACGAAGGATATCAACGCAGTGGTCTGGGAAAGCTGTTAGCTGTGTGCTGTACTCCGCAGCTCGAAAGCGAAAGAGATTGACTGTAACACCCACCTAAGTGAAAGAAGATACGCTCATCTGTTTGATTCACGAAATGCTCATCTTTGTCTTTGTAGTAATCCATATGAATACCTTTCCGCAGGAGATCCTAACAGCAAAAAGCGACATGATCAGCTATATAAATCAACACGCACATGGTCACAATACTCACAACACAGTGTAATTGGTGAAGAACGTCAAAGGTCGCCATATACTCTTGGTCAGGGCCAGGGTTTTCGATCTGTACTGCAACATCGGGATGATTGTTCAATGCTGTCAGCTGCTGGCGACTGATGCCCATTGCACCTCCTACCAAAGGCTATTAGAAAATTGACAATGAAGGGTTGTCTGGTCTCTAACTTGTCAAGTCATGCCATATGGCATCTACCTCCGGTCCCACACCCGCGTATTCTGAATGGGCACTATAGAATTGTCGTTTCTCGTAGACGATTCCACTTTCAAAGCCTGGCACTGTACGGACCTGTCAAAATCTGCGCAAAGAAGTCGAAGCAAAGGATGTACCCACACCAGTAATCTGTAGGCTTCTGAATGAAGCCTTCTTGGCGGGAATGGGGCGTGGTTGTCCAGAGGTTGAAAACAAGCATCACAGTGTTCAACATCAGTAGGACGACACAGAACAATCCGAAGAACAAGTACTTTCGGCTCATGGGTGGAGTGGAGTGTACCACATGGTCCTCAAACGGTTTGCTAAGAAGCACTCGTCTGGCTTCGTCTTTGTCAAGACTGCTGCTCCCGCGGCAGTCACTGCCATCGTCAACTGGACAATATGCGGCATCCTTCATTTCTGTTTCTCGTGTCGTTCACAGAACGGCCTCAGAATGCCTCTGAGGTAGAATGGCTCGAGTGGCTCGCAATACCCTTGACTCGGTCATATTTTCGGTCATATAAACCCTCTCGGTAGCCCCACCTCGCGAGGGGTTATGTCTTGATTGGATAAATTGGCATTTGTCAATTTTCATTAGTTCACCAGAAACATGCGTGTCGTCATATCGATAATCTTTTCCCCATTCTCTGGAGTGTAGGCGATACTAACACATAATATCGATTTATATTGCAGATCGCAAGGCAAATTGTGGAAGGAGGGTTCACGAGCGTTATGGTGCAGATAATAGGTGTTGATACTAGCATGGTACCCAATCTGGTTTCAAACTTAGTCCGCGAGGCTACATCTTTTACAATTTCTAGAGATTTGTCATCAGTTGCCTTGCTTTCTTATACGTACTCTATTTGAGTTGCAAGTTTACTACTACATCCGATCACTGTTTTGTGGCACTTGTTCATGCTGATCATTGAGCTGTCACGCACTGTATCTGCAGCCAGGACAAAGCAATATCGAAGTTTTTAAAAACTGTTTCCTTCACCGGCAGGTGTTAGGAACCGCATGAAAAAGTAATATACAAACTTACCATGATTGTCTCTTCACCCGCATGACTTGAAAATAACAAGAAAAAGCAATATAGGAGACTACAAAGGCTGTTGCCTTCACCGATCGGCTTCGCAATTTGTAAAAAGTCTTTACAGACGTAGTACAGCAGAGGTCGAGCCCAAGTTTCCATATGGTAATGGCTATTCTATCCTCACTGTCATTCAATGTGTGCTTTGCCGATATAGAGAGAACATGTAGTATCTCACGCCAGAAAAAGCATAAAAGGCACCGAATCTTAGTCAGATATGGTACAATGCATAATAACTAGTTAACTGGCGCAATCCGTCAGCATCCGACATCTGCTCAATTTCCTTCCTGAGATCAATATTGCACGGAGCTCCACCAGCTGCCTCACAATACACATGACATCGGAACATATCTGTCCATTGATCTGATCGTATAGATGCAATATATCATTTTTGGTGAAACGGTCAGTGCCAACACACATGACAGTAAATCAAGTCTACGCATGGACATGATGGAGACAAGCATTGCTTTCAAGCAATTCAAAAGAAAAAGCATAATTCAAGTGGTGAGGGGCGTAAATGCCTCATAGAAATGGTCTACGATGTGAGACCAGACTACCATATTTAATGTGGGCCTAGACCTGGAATCTGGGGGTGCAATCTGAATATCTCAAGAACAACAACAAGCCTCACAAGCACAATAACAATTATCAAGCACACTACCACCACCAATAGGAAAAAGCTAAACAAAATGCGTTCGTTTATCTGGCTGAGTGCACTGATCGGGCTTGCCATCGCGGCACCCGGAGCGTCTATTCCGGAGGAGAACGACAAGCGGGAATGGCTTGATGGCTACGGCGGTGGCGGTGGAGATGGCTACGGCGGTGGCGGCAGTGATGGTTATGGTCTAGTAAGTGGTAATCCAGCTTGTGGAAAGGAAGAAATACTGAAGTTGTATCAGGGTAAGCGGGAATGGCTTGATGGTTACGGCCGTGGCGGTGGAGATGGCTACGGCGGTGGTGGCGGTGATGGTTACGGTCTGGTAAGTGGCAATCCAGCTCATGAGAAGAAGCGAGTATTAACATCTTACCAGGCTAAGCGAGAGTGGCTTGATGGCTACGGTCGTGGCGGCGGCGGCGATGGATATGGTCGTGGTGGTGACGGATATGGTCGTGGAGGTGGCTATTGGAAGGTAATGCCCCTACCCTCTGGAGCAGTGAACATGTTAATGAAACTGTATAGGCGTAGCTATAGCGCGTGGGCAGGTGACAAAGTCTGCAGGAAGCTGTAATTGATGTACGCTTCACTGTGCGGTTCATTTGGCAAAGCCGGACTCTTTCACCATGATGCTTTCGACGGATGTATCCTGTTGCCTGGCGCAGCATTCAACATGCAAGGTACTGTATCCGTGCGACTTCCGACAAGGCTTTGCCTTTTCTTGTCACTTATTCTTGAGCCTTAGTGCTTCAAAGAACACAAGTCATAACATTTTTGATTCATAGCGAGGAGGTACCTGTAAAAAGTCTCCTCAATGTTCCATTGTAGTGTGCATCTCTAGTAAGGTATTCTTCGAGTACGTAATCGCCATTTAGCTCATTATAGATAGGGTAGATCTAGGATCAATCTCTGGAATTATCGTTTAGTAGACAGGTACTGGTATAAACTGATAGGTTTAATTTTGTACAAAAGAAGATGATGAGAAGGATAAGTCCGAAGGTGTTCTGTTAAAGAGTAATGATATCATCCCCTTGAGGAAAAGTTTATCTTCAGTGAATGATTCACACATTACCAATTGTTCATCTCGGCAAAGATGTCTCCCCCTCCACGCAATTGCCTCCCAGGACCTGCCAGAGCCATGCGAGAAGCATCTATTAGCTCATCCACCATCATGGCTGGCAACAGGGTATGGCTGTTTCCATCAGTCGTAAAGCATACCTTGGAAAGCCGCAACCTCTCCTGCTCACGCAGCATGGCCACAAAGTCGTCCAGAATGTTAATAGTAGCGCAGCTCTCTGCCATATGAAGTCCATCAATGACCCAAATAATTGATGGTGGTGCATCCACCAGGAGGCCTTTGATTATCCTCAACGCAGTGGAGGTAGATCCTATCGTTCCATCAAGATTTTCAAAATATGCCAGGAGCTCTGGGGCGCCGTGGAAGTCTGCGGGGAGCAGACGCGCAAGTTGTGCGATTATGGAGTACAAAAGCGCGATGACAGAGGCTTCTTGGCTCGAGACATCCGTGTCGCAATTATACCTTGGCTTACAGAAGAATGAGATACAAGGAATTTGTGCCCTTGTGCTCAGAGCGCGCAGCTGCATGGCTGCCAGGGAGAGATTGGACCTATGATTAAACGACGGGACCCCCTCGAGCCAGATCATTTTCGACCGTGGGCTCCTGATCCAGTCCTGGATCTCACTCAATACTTCCTGTGGAAGTAGAGAAGATGGAATTCCTCGGAGTGTATGGGAAAGCTCTTCTCTTCCATCGTCAATGTACTTCATGAGGGCTGTCGTGGCTTTCTGAATGTCGTAGCGCGTGCATGTCTCATCTGCGTCTTGGATGGTTTGTTACGAAGGTAGAATAAAACAGATAAACGCAACAATATTTACCAGAGTCCGACTCAGTCTTCCATGTCTTGACTTCAGTAGCTTGAACATCTGCCGGCTTAACATCTGTCAGGCTCTCCCTCTTCTCACGTATCTTAAGCGACTGTGGATCTAGCTCACCGATTAGATTACCATTCTCAAGTTGGCTTAAGTTATGGTCAGGTAGTTGTCCTACCGTGTTTAGCATTCCTCTCAACCTCTTGCAGCGTTTCAAGTGAGCATGCTCCCACGAGCTGACCCAAGTGGTGAAACTTCGCCTGCGTCGCATTTCGGTCGTCGTCTCGACTCTCACTTCCCACAACGTGAAGATATAAGAATTTTCCAGAGACGTCAATTGGTCGGGGGCTGACAATATCGAACACTTGGCCAAGCTTGCTGCTGATTCCCAGGACCTGCTTCTCTGCCAGATGTGCCGCTTCGTCACGGATCCGTGCAACCGCCGATTTCATGTGATCAACCAAGTCCTTGACTTCATGGTCATAAGAACTCCTATCAATGATTGTCCAGTATCGATGGCGCGGTCGACTAAACCATGACATTGCGTTGCATAGGAACTCAAAGACCATCACGTAGTAGTCCACGACGAGCGTCCTCATGTCTGCGCTGTCCCAGATATCCGTCTTTTTTTGGACGAGCCTCAAATCACTGCTAAGATCGACCAAGGCGGAAAAGAAGCCCTCGGCAATTTGCTTATAATTGGCACATATCTAAGTACGCGCAGATGTCTTGAGCTCATGGCCAACTCGTGCTCTCCGAATGTGATCGCATACCTTGACGACTGACGAGATAACACCCGTGATCAGACTGATGTACTTGTCTCCGGTCGGGATGAACTTGAACAGAAAAAAATGGTCGTCCATCATCTCCAGAAAGTCGACAACATAACTCTTGACCTTTCCCAGTCCTTTACTTCTCTTAGCCTGCCAGTCCATCTGGGCGTCCTGGACGATATTTTTCAACGTGGCAATATTCGGTATCTCCGGGACTACTTGATCAGAGCCCACTCTTGAATCTTCATGATGATGTTCCCGAAATCGCTGCCAAATCTCTACAATGCTCTTGCGACCATCTTCTAGCCGCCTCAAATCTGCGTCACTGGTGAATCATACAGTCTCAGCCTAATGCTATTACATGAAAAGGCATGCCTGGTCGCATGATGGGCCTTACTCTGTGGTATCCCCGAATTTGAGCCATTTGCTCCATTGTTCCCCCTGCACCCGAGACTGTGTCTCGATCTCGTCCCGCCGTTTTATTGTGGTACTCAGGGCCTGGGTGAGCGGGTTGTTGGGCGTCTCCTGCTCTGCCTTCATACTATATCGCCTATTTAGAAAGGATATCGGTGGTTGTTGCATTGCTTACTCGTCTATCTGGAGCCACAAAATCCAAGTGTTGTCGAATTTTGGTTGTATGTGGCGTGTTAAATATAGGAGACGAAATGGTGATGGAGTCGTCTAGTGGGGCGGAGAGGGCTTGGGCATTAGGCACTGAGAGATGTCCCATGTCTTTACGCCCCCACTCAGTCTCTTCCCTGGCCGTTTGAGAGCCAGCAGACCAGTCGCCAAGGCTGAGAAAAACAGGGAAACATCGTATTAGCATGGGTGGTATGGCCGCCGGGGACGGGTCCATAAGCGTGAGAATGGAGCGCTAAGTGGAGTGCTAAGCCTCTCAGCCTCCACAAAATGGTGGAATCAGAAGATAAGCCATGCAGTAACCTTACGCCAGAACTAATCAGCTTAGTGGTATAAAGGCGGACCGACATCACTTCATGCAGACACCCAGAGTCGAACTTTTCATGATCAATTAGTTAAGTTTCAATCTAGCGACTTGTTTCAGCGTTCGGCAAACAGAACCATGAGCCACGGCGCCGCAGGAGACGTGACTGCCATCAGCTTAGGCACTACTTTGGTTTCAACTCCTCCTACCAACATAAGCATAAGTGTGAGTACAGAATCAGACTCTGCCTCATCGAATGTCAAGACACATACAAGTACAGGTGCAGACCACTCTCCGAGTTCCGATTTGGAGGAGGATGCTGCTTCGGAAAAAGTGACGGAAACTGGTGAACAGGGAGGTGTTTCCAGTGACGAAGCCAAGGACCAGTATGAGGATAATCAGGTGTCATGGGCAACCTTATACTGTCCGGAGAATGGGCGATCCCATGCGACCCTGCTAGATTTTGGATTTGGCGAATGCCCCAAGTGCGGCCAGAATTTGACGGTCATGTGGACGCAGCCCAGATGGGCTCAGCAGGAGTTCAATAACGCACAAGAACACAGCAACGAACAGGATGACAACCAACCAGGACCGCATTTGCCTATGAACAGCGAAGCAGAACAATCGGCTCCAGCGCCCGAGGTCCACGAGGACTCCACAATTGATCCTTCTTCCATTGTGACCTATTGCCTGGAATATCTAGACGCCGGGAGCAACATTATCACCACAGTGCCATGGTCAGGTCCTTTCCACAGCTCAGTCATTCAAAAAAGCGTCGAGGTCAAGCAGCGCGTTATCTTCAACGTCACTACGGTTTTGGAAACGTCTGTGCCCCCGGACCCGCACAGATACTCAAATGAAGTCGAAGGGCTTCTACACCATGGCATCATAACGAACCCGACCATCGAGGTTGGGGTCCGTTCGACTCGTATGACCATCTTCTCCAAGACTCTTCTCAATGCTCTGGCCCGTGCGGTAACTTACTACCCGGCTGAAAGACTGGGTGGGGAGTATCTCCAACTCAATGAGCCATTTTGCTTAGTCGGTCATCATCTTACGGAGCTTGAGGCTTACCGAGCGACATATCGAGAAGATGATGTTGGCTCCCCACAGCCTGATGCCGCAGACCATGATCCTGCCATTCCTTTGTGCGAGAAGGAGACATTTGATCAACTAGGCCTGCTGCTTGATTATGTAAAAGACTCATTCTATAAAAATCGTCTCCCTGATGAACTAGCCCGACACACTCAGAACCTTTGCACATTCGGAATGCTGTGGTTACTCTTCAAGCCCGGAGAAACTGTGTATATGGAGTTTGGGGGTCAACTGTCAGCCTATGTGGTCCAATATATGCAAGTTGATAAGACGTTGCTTTCATCCACCGGTCGTAAGTTTACTCATCCGTATATTGTCCAGCTGTGGAACCTTGACTTTAATGGTACATATGTCGGGAGGCGTTCCAAAACCGTGACTATCGCACATTTCGATGGCGAGCGACAAGTCACCTCGCTCAAAATATTTCCGTGCCACTTCATCGATAGACAGGACAATGGAAAGACTCGGAGGCACTTGGAGGTTCTTGGGTGGAAATAGTATGAGCTTCTTCAGGGAAAGCAGGTGTTCTACTTGGGCGAGTTCCTGGGTCCATCTAAGCGACAGGTAAGCACGCGTTTATTAACCGCATAAGCTATACTGATGTCTGTGACAGTACCAAGGTCGTATCTATGTCGACTCGGCTTCTTATTTTTCACAGCACGAATATACAGCCCCAGATATTTGTGAAGTCGAGGACATGGGCGACGGGCTAGCCAAATGCCTCTGCGAGGAGTGTCGTGGCTGGAAATCTCACCCGTTGCCTGGCTTCCGGTGGGCTGCTTATGACCTTTTGGACCCGAGAGTGGATACCGATCTTGAGCTTCCTGAGTCCTCCGAAGGTGCTCGTCATCGCTACTTACTCTGCAGCCGGGTACTCTATGGACTTGTGTTGAAGTCCAGGACATGGGGTGGGTGCTACCATGTCGAATCTACCTTTCTCAACGACTCGCTAGCGGTTGCAGAGGAATTGAACGTCGCGTATTGTAGGGAGCCGAAAGTAAACAAAAGGGCTATTGATAGCTTGGTTATGCCGGAAGGGAGGAAAGAGATGATCCGCGCGCTTGTGCAGAAATACACAGATTCTAGAAGCGACGAACACAATAGATCCTGGGGAGCCGATTTCATCGAGAACAAAGGCGAAGGGCAGATATTCCTCCTTCATGGCAGTCCGGGAGTGGAGAAAACCTTTGTAAGTTGTATCCTCCCCAGATTTAACCGGAACCCCACTGATGACCACAGATTGCTGGTAAGTCGCATACACGATCAAAGGACGGCACGTCGCTTTTACCACTGACCCAACCCAGAATGTATAGCTGTATACACCGGACGGGCACTACTATCGCTGACCGTTGGAGACATCGGTACTGACGAAGTCGTAATGGAGAAAAAATTGTCCAAATGGTTCAGACTAGCCGAACAATGGGGCGCGGTTATGCTCATCGATGAAGCGGATGTTTATCTCGAAAGGCGACAGATCACAGATCTTAAGCGCAATAGTCTGGTATCCGGTAAGTTTGATAGAGTAGTACTCAGATAACTTCAACTCACACATTACTCCGAAAGTATTTCTGCGATGCATCGAATACTATCGAGGAATCCTCTTCCTGACGACTAACCGAGTCGGCCACTTCGATGATGCCTTCATCTCTCGAATCCACGTCGTCATTCGGTACGACAATCTGAGCGAAGAAAACCGGAGAACGATATAGGAACAATTCTTCGACAAGTTGACCGACGAGCGCCATGACTTTGTTGTGACTCGACGTGCAAAGTCCTACGTCTTGGAGGATGAAGTGATTAGCAAAATGCAATGGAATGGACGGGAAATTCGTAATGGTATGGTCTTTACCCATTCTGGCTGTTCATACAATAAAGAAACTAACATAGTTTTTCTTTCTAGCGTTTCAAACAGCCGTTGCCCTTGCCGAGTACCGTTTTTCTCAAAAACAAGACAAGTCCAAAGACGACGGCCCGACATTGGATCAGCGAGACTTCGAGCAAGTTTGCAATATGACGAGGGACTTCAAGCAGTACTTGACCACTGTGCATGGTATTGATGAGGAGGATCGCGCCTTTCGTGCTAAGGCTAGAGCCGGTAATATCCGCAGGACATGAGGTCACGTACAAACATGCCACATAGACACCATATGATGTCAGCCATACCATCTAGGTCATTCAATCATGACCTCCCTTCCGATGACTCACACCTTAACATCTCGTTCACCAATACTTAGGTCATCATTCTGCAACTTATCAGCTTACAATAGGGTACCCAATCAGCTCCCCCTATTCTCCGAGAAGTCGAAACAATCGCGAAAATCCACTTTACCTGACAGACCAATCATTCGACGCGCCGGTGACGCGTGGACGTAATTATAGAATTAGATCATATCAGATTAGATGTCTTCCAAAATTTTGGTCTGGGGTATGGGGCAATATGGCTGTCTACCGTGATGAATGATTATTTTATGCTGATAGCCATATACGCTCTACCCGATAAGTGAGGTCGATTTCTTGAGGGCTTCTTCATCTCGAGCTGTGCTTCTAGCTTGTTTCAGGTCTTCGGATATACTCCCGGTATCACTAATAGATGGGGGTAGCGACCCCCCGAACTAAGAAGCCATCATCATAATCTATTGTTAATCTGCCAGACTATGGCACTGCATTACCTGCAACATTACTTCCTATCTCGCTAATATGCTTCAGTATCAAGAGAACCATTTTCGACTACCAGCGATAATGGAGTGCGTATCACTAAGTAACACTCGAGAATCACATTTGGGAAATAGTGGTCAGTGTTCTTGAAACTCTATATGAGTGTTTATTTTCCGCGTGCGGCCGAATTCCCCTCCCCAATCCCCAGATCTCGAACACTTTTTCATCCTTGTATGCTCAAGATTAAAGTTCTCTGATGTCTACGGTTAGTATCAGCGACTCTTCAGAGACGGTTGTCCGCCTTACAAAAACGAAATGAGGTAAAACGAAATGGTCTCTATAATAATGAAGGCGGGTTGATAATTTTAAATCCCATATAATCGAGAGGATGCTTATGGTAAGTCAAATGATGGAAAGGTATGCTGTATTAGAGAAGTAAAGGTCACTGAAAAACACGTTATAGAACAGTGGTAAAAGAAGCGCCGGAGCCGCCACATGCTCCTTCAACACCATAAAACAGACCTAATTCTCAGGTATGACCGAAGACTCCGACGTAGTCCCTGACGTATTCATAACTTTCAGCAAAGGAAAACGAGTATGACGTAAGTTGTCTTCATGTCAGCTGTAGAAAGCGCAGCTTGCGACGGGACTCTATCAATACATTACTGACTCGCCTGACCAAGGGCTTTCCTTGAACTGCCCTAATTTACTCTTCTCAGCTGGGAATACTAGCTACTCATTGAGTGGAGACATTTAGGGATAGCAGTGATTGCTGTGGACACGTTGCCTCAATTTATATCCTGACAGATATCAACACCAGCTCACAAACAATTGTCAACCCAACGTTGCTGAAAGAGAGGTCAATTTCGTATCCAAATCGGGGATCTTGGCAATTGTAGTGCCGTTTGCGGAGTCATTGAGGATAGATGCTTAGCCATTTGGGTGCATGCTTTTGGAAGGTAGGAGAGCATCTGTGAGGTGAAAGGTGCTAGATAGCAATATCTCGTGACAAACTTCTTGGGCATGAAGGTTCTTGTTGCGACGATAGCAGCAGCGAGCCCACCAGGGTCCAAAGGAGTGATCGAGCTTTTGCTAACCAATACAACGCCCCCATCATAAGGGATAGGGCCTAAGGTTGAGGGGTCTTTAACACGTACGAACATGGCCCGACAATGATTTGGTAGACTGAAGAAAGCGCTTTGGGCCGTTGTCGCTCAGGGATGTGGGCTGGATGGAAGTGTTATCATCGACAGTATTTCGGCTTGTGACGGGGCAATACATACGGTAGATAAATAATAAACAACACTTACTCTGCAAGAAAGAGGTTTGGCATGTAGGTATCGAATTCTCGTACTTTGGGAAGTTGTCATCTGGTATCCCGAGCCCTAATAATGGTTTTCAAGCAAGAAAATGTGGGATAGAAGTAAGTTAGTATCGATACGCCTAACTGATTGATAGACAATGACCTATATTTTGTTATCTCTTCAAATCGGTACGCGAAAGCCATCTACACGACCTGAGTAGAGTCAACAATCTAAAGTTCTCTATCCGAGTAGACGAGGATTATTTCTCATACAAAGCTAATAATACAAATTCATAGAACAGAATACATCCACATCAGACCAATCTTCGTTACATTCTTTATTTGCTCCCCTTAGCCTTTCGATAGCTGTGACCATCGTAAGTATAAGCATATTCGCCGACATCAAATCCCCACTTGCCCTTGCCATTGGAACCCGGTTTACAAATGGCATCATCCTTGTTAGGCTTTGCGTTGTTATTCCGGAGAGCCTTGCAGTAGGGACTGATCGATACTCAGAACAAGCATTTGTCAGAAGAAGGGCATAGAGACATAAGGCCACATCTTACCCGAGGGTCCCAGTCCACCCGGTAATTTGATACCAGCTATTTTGGCCTTTATGTGCCGGTTGGATTTGGTATTTTCTGTAGAAGCTGTTGATTGATCCGCCCTGAGAATGCTGGGACTTTTCAGTTACTGGGAAAAGGAGAGCCCTATATGGTGGTTAGTACACGAAGTAGTCATCATCATCAGGGAGCTTACTGATAACCACCCTGAGTAGTTGATGCGTAAGGAAATTCCTCTGGAGATACATATAGACTGCCAGGGATCTTGACGTTGGCCGCTGTTGGGTTTCGGAATGGGCCAGTGCCATCGCTTCCTGGAAACTTCTTCTTTACACCCGCATCCTTTCGATTTTGATCACTCTCTGTTCCGTCGCGCTGGCTGGGTGGTTGAAGAGAATGTGTCTATCAGATAAATGTTCACTGCTGTATTGGTTCCGAGGGTTAGTGCCAGAGGCTCACAAGACTGGTTCCTTTCCCAGACACAAGATAGCATAGCAGTCACCATCAAAAGGTAAAGCGTTTTCTTCCTTAACCTCCATGGTTCCCGCAATGGGGTAGGCTTTACTTGAACCAGCAACAGGAGGGGCACGCCTATCTAAGTGGTCGCAGAAGCAGCATCAGGGGCTAAAATTGGGGCTGTATGGGCAAAGTGTATGCTCCCTATGCAGAAGAAAGATGCAAGGAGATTGAAGACCCGCATGTTGAAAGAGATAGAAGGTGTATAAAATGAGCTAATCCTTGAGTAAAGATTTGATCTAAAGCACCGATACGTCCCTTGGACATTGAGATGCTCCAGAGAGCTAGGAGAGAGCTCGCTTTTGTATTTGGCTTCTGATCTCTCCAGGTCTTACATCACAAATAGATTCAAAGACATGTCTGTGGCACCACACTGGGGCTGAAATTGCTGACTTTCCCTTGCAATTGTGAACGGAGAGCAGCATAGTATACTGAAAAGGATAAGCAAATTTAAAATCCAACATGGGGTATCAGGGACGTAAAAAGGCACAAGAGCCTTCATGAAACATGGTATCACTGTCATTAAGAAATTGGTGACAACTGAAGGGGAATAGGCTGACCAAGAGGTTGCCAGATGTGACCCATCATTGAAAAGATTTGCTTAGAGAATACCTTCAAAATAGTAGCATCGGAGAAAAGTAGGCGGATGAAAGAATGGGTAGGTAGAAGGCAGTCATTGTCAGGGATCTCAGTCTGAGTATCCTAACAGCCCGTGATTGCCAGATGGCTATATTGGCATCAATTCTGCTAGAAAAGGACTGAGTCGTTGGCAAAACCTGGGAAAGTGTTGGTTTCACGAGTAGTAAACCTCGAGGATCAGAAAACCGCATTTGCGAGAACCCAAAGCTACATCTGTCACCAAGGGCAAGTATTACTAAACTGGGGGCTAACATCCCCCAGAGAGCCATAGAAGCTTTTCATTGGGATATTACTGAAGTAGCATGCTTTTGCAAGGAACTTGTAATTGAAATTCGGTCGCACAGCATGTTGCAAGAGAGGCTAATACCCGTGATCTTTGCCTGCTTAGCACCATAGCAAACAAGGTAGACAGACCAATGTCTGCCTAGGCGTCTGTTAGATGCTCAAAGGAGACAAAACCGCATACGCCCGGTTTAGGCTTCTAGTTGCGGCAAGTCCGTAATAATTATAACAGTGCTAGACCGGAGCTTTCCTCTGAACCTGACCGACATGTATTTCCAGCTGTCAAACAAAGCAATTTCTGAGCCCGTCGCGGCTTGGATCCCCAGTCTGATCTCCCCCTTCTTGACGCGTTGGCTTACGTGACACACACACACATAAGGCTCTCTTCAAAGTTTCTGCACATCTAGCTCACATTGGCTGACTACGTTACTCATGACTGAACAACTAATTTACATGACAGCGGTTCGCCCCTGAATTGCAGCATCTGACAGGCATGTAGCCGAAGGGTTCAAAGCGGTGAGTGTTACGTGTCGCCTATCACCGCATATTCACCATATACGCGCCTTACCCAACCTGGCCATCCAGCGGTGATAGGAGTATTTAAGGACGTCTATCCCAGCTGTCTACTCCGTGTCTAAACCTAATGCCACTGAACAGGAGCTCCGCGCTGATCCGTTCCAAGATTGACAAAACCACTGGCTGTTAATCCACTCACAATGTCCGATATCATGACTCTGTTCACAGCAAACATGCCAGCAAGTGTACGAGAGATGACATTCTCCTCTACACGTCTGAGTATGCTTAGCTAACCTCCTGGAATAGATCTTCAATCAGCTCTTCGATGAGAGTCAAACGGCTGACAATGCCTGTCCGTTTCTTACGCTTGTCCGTTATCCTGAGCAGAAAGAGGTGGACGAATGGGGAACGGAAGCGCCCATTCAAGACTTCAAAACAGGATTCCTAGGCAAAAATGACGACGAGCTCCGTCAGTACTTCCGTCGCTTCTTCTCGGAAAGACCACCATCTGAACAAGGGATGACTGTGGAGAACTGGATGGCAGTCCTAGACGACCAGTCGGCCGTGGACTCAACGATCGTGCTACACTATGGGATGAAAAAATCAGTGTGGGATGACCTACATGAACATGAGCCTGATAAGGAAGTCTTCGGAGAAGGGAAGCTTTGTGAGGACGGGTATATCTGGTGGAAGTGGAGGGTCCCGTTCAAACACTCATATAGTTTTTTCATTGCCGTCGAACACTGCGACTTTGAGATTCTGGAGCTGTTGTGTCGCCCTGAACATCGGAACTCCCAAGGGATTGTTGATTATGAGACTTGCTGGAAGATTATTTGCGGGGATATCCGTGATCCTTTGGGGAAGGTGGGAGGACAACGGGAGGCGTCGCCTGAAGCGTGATATTGAGTGCCACTATTGTTGGCCATAGAACTTCATGGCTGAAGGAGCTAAGGGGGAAGAACTGCAGCATGGTTAGGACTTTGTCATGCGAGAATTCAAGCTGGATTGATTTACATTCCTACGTATATTCTTCGACGCAATCACTTCCGTTACAGAACAATAATGGGATGATGGACGAGAACAGGACATAGTTCATTCACACTGTGGACAATGTCGCCTAGATGACGCACAGTGACCGGTGAAGCATAGTAAGCTATATTCAGTAGGCGGTATGAGCACAACTAAGTGATCAGTGATTATATTAGCTTCGCTAGGTTATTCAATTCACGGGGTATATTGATAGAGATCATATTTATATGCACTATCATGTACTCACATGCTATAACACAACTATGGGTTATGTGTCAAAAAGACTTCGGTTTACCTCTCCGATATCTATCCCCGAAGGGACTATTTCCAGAGACTCGCCATAGCAAACTGGGTGCGTAGTGGATGGCGGCCCTCCCAATTGGTACCATGACAAAGGACCAGAGCAGCAGAACGGAGGGCAGTATCGCCTAATGCACTACAACATGTCAGAAAATCCTGACATGGAACCGTGATCCATAATCTCCGGTTATTCGGCATTCGGCTTTTCTCCCTCTAGAATGAATGCGACTGTCCAGTGTTTGTATCTCGACCAGACGGCTTGCTAGGTTTAGTCCTGTCAGCTTGATGAGGAGGACAACCGACAACCATAGGGACATGGCCCTGACCAGCTCGTCGTAAATGCTCTGCGTGCTTTCTGTATCTTTCAAAGTGATAGGCCTTTGTTTCTTCTACTTCAGGTCCGTTTGATTCGGAGCAAGAAATCACCGGCCACATCGTAGTTCGGCTCAATCTCTCCGTGAGTCGCCATCGCTGGCAGTCAACCACGCCTACAGACATGGATCTATTCTTCTTTCTCCGCCACATTTCATCGTCTGGCGGCGAAGTGTCTTACACGGGAAATGCCGGGGAGTGAGCTTCGGTGACAAAGGGCTTCCTGAAAGTAAGTCTACGAAAAGTCAATCCTCAGCACCCGCGCCATCGCCCTTGGTTATCTTATCGTGATTATTACCCCACTGACGTTCTTCCAGTTATCCCTAATGGGGTGTACAGTGTGGATGTGGAACTGTGGCCTACAAATGTTGTGGTGCAGAAGGGTGAGCGCCTCGTTTTAGATATCGGCGCTTCAGAACTGGCTGGTAGCGGTTTGTTCCAGCACAATGGTCCAAGTGACAGGTAAGCTAACGACAGCACGTTCCATGGAATAATTGTAACACATGATACTGAATAACAATCGAACAGGCCGAAAAGCGTTTTCAAGGGCAACAATCATGTGCACTTCGGACCCAACTACGAGAACTGGATCAGTCTTCCCGTAAATCCAAGCAGCGATTAATCCAGAGTACCTGTATCCAATTTCAGAGATTCTAGTGGTAACAGTGACATTGTCAGATATTCTTGCTCTCAGGGGTCTCTCCTTCAGCGTACCTTCTCATATTATGAACCCTTGCATGACCAAGCTCAGTTGAACCAAGTCGATCTGCTCACTCCCGTGCCAACCACAGCCTAAATTACTAGCTGTCTGGCATGAGGACAGGGGTCAGTATATAAGCACTGCAGAGGAAGGGACAACCTGAGGAGATCGTTATCCTGAGTGGGATCTAAGTGCATCTCATCGCCTACCAGGAGCATTTGGCCCGAAATAAATTTATGATCCGTGAGATCCATGATTATCCAGATCTTTCGACCCTCGGGTGAAATCCCGGAGATGTTCCAGTGTTTCATCTACGAAAATCCCGGCGATACCGACAGTTATGATACTGTTTGCCCAGGAAGCCCTAGTATATCGGTATGTTAGTTGATTAGGCAGGCTTGTGAGGCGGCATAGTGGGCTTTCCTTTGGCGGGTCTGTGTATATAGGGCACCTGTTCCTCCTCCTTAATCTAAGCCATCTCTGAAAGGACACCGGCCGTCCACCTTCAGAAAATCCATGAGTTCACCCGAGACTCACCGCATACCTCTTAAAAACCACCAACTCAAACAGGAATCCCGGCCGTCCATCATGCGGGGAATACTCCACCTAACTAAGCAAGGGCGGGCTAAATGCCGGAGAAGGGGCCGAGCTTCTTTTCTTTATCTTCCGCCCGACCTTCTCCAAAGCTGGGCGTCGTAGGCTTTCAGCAGGTGATGATAGATATGAAGTGGTCGCAATTGTTGCCCTTAGCTCTGCATCTGAGCTCCACAGCCACAGCCAGCATGTCTACCGAAAGTGAGCCTACCTGAACCATCCTAGGAAAAACGTTGCATATACATCCCTACTTAACATATAACAACCAAAATTAGGTATGGAAAAAGCACTTGAGCCATTCAAGTATAACACATTTCCCCTCGGTACAATTACCGCCACAGGCTGGCTGCATGATCAGTTGGAGCTCGAAGCAAATGGATTGGCCGGCCATCTCAACGACTTTTACCGCTTTGTGGCTGGGTCAACATGGGTCGGGGGTGATTGGGAGTACAGCACGCTAGACGAGGCAGCGCCCTACTGGTTTAACTACGTTGTCCCCCTCGCCTGGATCATCGACGACGCGCGCCTGAAAGCTCAGGCGAAGCAATTTCTCGATTACGTCCTTGACAATCAAGCTGAAGATGGATGGCTGGGGCCCGAGAAAACTCACCAAACTCGAGGAATCTGGGCACGTAGTCTGCTCTTCTTTGGCTTAGTGGTGAGTGCATATGTCTGGTCTGTGTACATTTGGTGCTTGGATCTGACCCAGCGGTCCAGCAATACGCACAAGCAGATCCATCCGAGACGGACCGGATTGTAACAGCGATGCATAAGTTTACCATCCTGGCTCATTCCATTCTCAAAGACAATTTCACCGGCCTCATCGAGAACACGACGCTTGGAGACAACTTTGATCCTCACGGCTTTGGACTAGCCCGGATGCATGAGTTGTCCATGTCATTGCAGTGGTTGTATGAGAACTATCCACGAAATAACTCGGAAGTAATCTGGGAGACTATAGAGCTTATGTTTGCCGGCGGTGTCGCGGGTGGGAAGGACTGGACAACCTTCTTCGTGGAGGGCGTTTTCCCCACCTTGGGAACGCCGTATATCATGACCAGCTCATTCACCCATGGTGTCAATTTAGCGGAAGGTATGAAATTGAGCCCTAGGGCAGTGGAAGGCAGTGCTGACCGAGACAGGCTTACGGTATCCGACGGTGCTCTACCGAATGAATGGAAATTCTTCCCTGCTGGACCAGACCGCGGTAGCGGTAAACTTGCTCACCACCTACTAGTCGACACTTGCTGGGAGCATCACGGCCGATGAGCATCTGGGCGGACTCAGTCCCGAGCGAGGGTATGCGTGTCTTCGCCTCTCTTCAAATTTAGTATTTGATACTGACATGAAACAGCTCAGAAACTTGCATATCGGTTGAGATGATGTTTTCCATGGCCTATCTGTATCGGTTCTACGGCACCAGCGCATACGCAGACCGAGCCGAGCGCGTCGCATTCAACTCCCTGCCTGCAGCGCTATCACCGAATTGTAAGTCTATGAGCACCTAGTACAAAACCCCAGCTAATACTTTCTTAGGGTGGTCACATCAATATGTCCAGCAGGTCAATCAGCCTTGGTCCCGCAACTTGAGTGCCGTCCCTTTCGCGAACGTGAACTCCTACGCCAACAGCTATGGCCTCGAGCCCAACTTTCCTTGCTGCACCGTCAACCATGGCCAGGGTTATCCCAAGTATGTGGCCGCTTCTTATGTGCTTGAGGGTGACAGCCATGTGATTCACGCACTACTGGGGCCCGAAACATTGAGCACGAAGCTGGCTACAGGCAACGTGACCATCGCATGCACGACCAACTACCCCTTCTCAGGCCGACTGGAGTATGCAGTCACAGCCACTGCCGACATATCATTCTCCGTCCGCATTCCCGACTGGGTAAACAAGACAAGCTCTCAGTACTCACTCGCGGGCGGATCGTTCAAACCCCTCTCCTCGGACTCCAATAACCTGCAAACCTTCAACCTCACCAAAGGAACTACCCAGATAGCTGTGCAGCTAGAAATGGGCATCCAGGTCACAAAGTCACCAGCCAACGGCACCGCAGCCATCTACTACGGCCCATTATTATATGCGCTAGACATAGACTACAACTCCACCTACCACAGCCCCCTCAACTACTCCTCCTTGGAGCCATTGCCAGCAGACCAGATCGTGGCGCAGACACATGACTATGTGCTCGACCCAACCTCTGCTTGGAGGTATGCTATCGATCCGACCTCGGTGACTGTTCAGCAGGTCTACGATCGCGATGGACAACTACAAAATCCCATCTGGGCGAAAAATGCCACCCCCGTTGCCTTGTCCGCCAATGCATGGCTGGTCCCCTGGGAGGAGGACTCGGGGACCGCTGCGGTGCCCCCTAAGTATCCAAATGTCACTGGGTCGCCGAGTAAGATCCGCTTGGTCCCTTACGGCTCGGCAAAGCTGCATATTGCCGACTTCCCCATTGCGGTTCAGTCGTCCTAGGGGCTTGCCTATGACGTTATGGAATATATAGCTGATAAAAGTGCTGAGGCTTTGGTGATCTGATGTTTGATTCATGACCACGACCTCGGAGGTCTTCTCTATGTGGTTCTTGAGAGCCATCTACAAGGTAGCATGTGAAGCAGGACTACCTATAATCAAATGAAATTACAACAGCAGTCACGTACTATAGCTACGTTATTGATTGTAAACCAAATACATAAGGAAGAGCATAGTTCCAGAGTTCTAATCTTCACTATGTTTCCACAATAACAGCCAATACTAAACGATACTTGGAGATATATAATTAGATCATATTACATAGTTCTATTGATTCTATCATTTATTTAGATTTACTTACTTTTATTATTCATATAATATATATATAGATATAGATATAGATATAGACTCGCAGCTTCCCTCGACCTAACTCGAATTAGTTTCAGCCGTTACATTGATTACAAAAATCCTTCCCCTGATCATTGATCGATGTTACTCACCATATTCCGATAAGTGTTCCCCTTGCAGTAACAACTTCCCTCTGTTACTAGCTCGCAGAGAGTGCCCTTGAGGAAGTCAGAATCTATCCCCTTCGACCTGAAAATAGCCACGCCATGGCAAGTAGGATCGCAGTCATATCCACGTATTTCGATTTCCTGTAAATATTCCCAAATTCTCATAAGCCTTTTCGCATATACTATCAGGGGAGCTTGGGAAAGGTTATCTTACGTCGTCACGACAGCTATTATCGCTATCTCAGTATCTTTGAAATAGATACACAGAGGTCTCCATAAAGGTGTTAACAACGCTTGTATACTGCGATCGCATTTAGCACGAGGCCCTGCTCGGTGACCAGGAACTCTAGGGAAGTCTTCAATAAACCCTACTAATGAAATGCTTAGTGACGTCATGGGTAAAGCATGTGGCAGTAGCGTCCCTCAATCCTTATTCGTTCAATTCTTTTGCTGATCTTTCGCCATGTGAGTGAGAAATACATCCTCTGAACGCACATACCAGCATGCCATCCTCACATGAGTAGTTCATCGACAATGAATTTTTTCCCTATCTGCATCATACATGAGGGCGATAATAATCAAATCTTGGCTCGACTGTCGATCACACTCGAAGGAACAGTATTCCATGCTTGTCGATTCCAAAAAAATCCAACCACAGGAAAGATGCACGAACTCATTTCTAGCATGACGATAACTTCAAGTTTGTGTAATTTGTGACCCTTTAACCAGTAGACTACAAGTCTTATATCGCGTCTCTTTGCGGGTTTAGACGAAGAGATATGTCGCATCGTCACTATTAAGGCACAGACCGGGATCTGCATCTACCCGCATTCCACCGCTCCCGCCAAGATATACACACCAGGGGTGAATCATCTTGAGTAGTGCGACAGTAAGGTCTTTCCGTGAACATCATGATCATGAGAGGATTGTCATTATCATCAATTCGATTATTGCGACCGCTGACCCTGTCTCCGCATGTCATTTCTCCTATCCACATAACGCGCATGCCAACCCGTCGCGTCTTTGCTAGCACCGCGTCCAGATCAACACCCACCGGTGACAATCCCAATCCCGACTTCTTATATGAACCCCTCGAAGGTGTGGAGAGAATTGAATACTATTGTTCAGGAGGCTATCATCCAATACAGATTGGAGATCACTTTCACGGCCGATACCGAGTAATACATAAGCTAGGACACCCCAACTATGAGCCAACCATGGAGGCTATCATCTTCGCACTGAAAATAAATTTCGCTTGCGAAAATGCTCAGATCGCTACTATGGGGGTCATCAAAGTTTCTTTGCTCTTCTTCTACCGGCGCATCTTTGGCATTTCTCGTCCGTTTGTCATGGCGAGCAATGTGCTCATTGCACTGATCTCCAGCTTTACATTGGCAATTGTACTGGCTGTTATCTTCTCCAAATGGCCGGTATACCTTCAATGGGACCCCACCGCCCCCTACGATATCAATGCGTCAGCGATTCTTATCTGCTACGTTGCCGGGAATAGCTTTTTCGATCTTCTGACGCTGGTTCTTCCAATTGCCGCCGTGCAGAGATTGCAGATGGATCAATCAAAGAAGCTCTTCATGTCCGTCATCTTTGTCTTGGGGAGCACGTAAGTGATATTGGAATCTATTTTCATCTATCTTGTCAGAAGACTAATATTTGTGATGTTGAATAGCTGCATGGTGGCATCACTTGTTCGACTCTACTATGCTGTTCAGTGGACGAAGGAGACTGCAACCATCAGTAGTATGTTCGAGGGTATGTTTTCCCGGTTAATATTGCATTTACCATGTTTCTCGTACACATTTGCTGACGAGTTAACTCTTTGTTTTCTAGCGCCCTTCATTTACAATATTCTCTGGGCACTTCTCGAGCCACCCATCTTCATTGTTGTGGGCTCTATGCTTACATTCGGACCCCTTCTCCGTAATTGGCGAGGTCCCAAGCAATGGATTCGGCTCATCAGCAGCAAGAAGGAAGGATCAACGAAGATTCAAGGCGCACGCAACCGTCCGCAGTCACATTTTCAGTCGGGAAACTCCCACCGGAGCGGAGCAGAGAAGACTTTGCCTCCGATCTCCTCCAGCCAGGTGGACCTCCTGCCAGTTTGAAAAGTGCATACTGGGTCATGAATGGTCATTGACACTATGTCTCTTTGGTCTTTATTCTTGTATCTTTTTCGTATCATTACATGCTACCAAATCTAGCTCGTGCTTTAAATCATAGTCACCTAGGCTCGGCCCATTGTGTCGCTGGAAAAGAAACGAAACTTTCAGCTCCAAGACAGTATACTTCGTAGGAATTATCGGTAGAGGAAGGCCGACTAGCACACTTTGAGCGAAATCACATGAAACTGCCAGCCCTTATTATGGAGAGAATCGTGCCGGTTCTTCCTCCTTCGTAGCCTTGTTAAGGAACAAGCTAAACACACAGAAGTGTTCCGGACAGTGGGTCATTCGCTTCGGACTAGTACTTGACTACCTCCGAGCTACCCTATCCTGTTCTGTTCTGGCGTGAGACTGACTCACCCTGGCTGGCTCCAGACAATCGTGGCTTCCACTCACTAGGCCGATGAACAAAGACCATCTTACGACGCTAAAACAGAGGGGGTAAGCGCCGGTCTCCGGGGGAGAGTGTGTAATTATTGCTGTCTTGTATGGGACCCTCCCCCTCATTTACAGACATAAATACTGATACCCAACCCCTCTTCGTTTCCTCATCCAGCATCTGAACTTATCTCTCCTACTGCTAAAGTGTCATTGTCGGCTTTGTCCTTTCTCTCATCTCTTCTCCCTTCCCACCCTTACTTTTTACAATCATGACCGTCCCCACCGACAAGAAGAAGCCCGCCTTCGTCGTGGTGCCGGGTGCCTCCCAGAACCCCGCGCACTACGCCCATCTTCTTCATCTCCTCCAGTCTGCTGGTTACGGAGCCTTTACAGGCCTTCTCCCCAGCATTGGCGCCCAGGGAGAGGTCACCGCAGCCGATGACGCTGACTATGTGCGAAACCGGCTGCTCCTCCCTCTCCTGGATGTCGGGAACCAAGATGTGATCCTGATCAGCCACTCGTATAGTGGAATGCCCGCCAGCGCGGCGGCCCGCGGTCTCGGACCCGCCGACCGTGCCGCTCAGGGCAAGTCCACTTCGGTGCTTGGCCAGATCTTCATCGCGACGATTTTGCCTCGTGGTGGTGATGGGTTGAGTGTTATTGATTCTTTTGGTGGAAATTTGCCCCCGCATATGTACATGGATGTATGTGCTCCTTCCTTCCCACCCATCATTTCCAGTATTAACGAGAAGCAATGAATGAATGAATAGAAAGAGCAAAACCTCCTCAAATGCGACGAGCCCAAGCCCCCTCTCTTTTACGACGTTGAACCCACTCTTGCCGACGCCGCTTGCCAGACCTCCCTTAGTCAGGGCTTGACTTCTTTCTCTAGTCCCTGTCCTGAGGCGAGCTGGGGCTCTGAGGCCTTCAAGGATAGAATTGCTTACATCCACACTACTGAGGATCGCGCGGTGCCGTACCCGGCCCAGACGGCTATGGTTCAGGCTACGGGTGCTAAGTGGATTACTAGGGAATTGGCTACGGGTCACAGTGCGCAATTGTCTGCTCCGGAGGAGCTGACGAAGACTATTTTGGAGTTGGTCAAGCAGTGGGAGTAGATAGATGTATTCATGAACAATTGGGTGTGTATTTAGCTGTTTGCAATGTTGTTTCAGAATGTAAGAGAATTCGCCAAGCTTACTTAGTAGAATATGTGGCTTTGGTATGGGGAGATGTTCAGTCACATTGGCAAATAGAATTATTTGTTCTTGTTGTCCTCTTGCTTATCCATCCTCCCGCTTCCTACAGGCACAACTTGAAGGCATGTGCCCCAAATGAGGGGCAGTGGGTCGGTGAAAGGAAGAGGAGGGTAGTGGAGGACGCCGCGACAAGCACAAGACACATAAGAGAAGGAAGGGGGGTGGATACTCCTGCTTGGTGTGCTGGCCAGTCGAGGAACAGACGGAAGTGGGAAGGAGGCAAGGCTGAGGCTCGTTAGGGCCAACTGGAACGGACACTCCCAAGCAACCTAGACTCCGCGGATAAACACTCCAGGAAGCTAGGTTAGCTCCAAGTGCTCCGTACTCTTCCCTTCTGTTCGGTTATCTGTCCATCGCTAAGGATGAACTAAGGATGGCCCCGAGCGTCCAATCTAAGTGGGTCTGACAGATTTAGGGCAGGCGGGGGAGGCTGTGGGCGGAAAGCGCCGACGGGGCGAGATTATATCTAGCCAGTCAGCCTAGTATACCAAAATATTACAGACATCTCAATGCATCTATTATCCTGTGATCAAATGAGTGCAGTCATCATTTAGTATTGGGTGTGTTATATAGACTTACCCTTGACTGGTAGATTCACAATGGAGGGGAATGGAAGTGGCCGTCAAGCGCTAAAATAGGTCAATGTACCATGCTGCAGGACACGCACTAACTGGCCAATGAGCCACTAGCTAGTAAGACTAGCTAGTTAGTAGCCAGTCTATGATAAACGAGGAGAGGCTTACATGGTTACATCTTTCTCCCCTCTTCCGATCTACCCGGTTTTAGCGACACATGCATTAGCTTCAAGTGGCGTTGTTGAAGTAAGCATCAGTGACGGTTCTCTCTGTTGTCGATGGGAGATCATCACAGCCAGGGGCATATTGAACGGAACGTGTTAAGACCTAGTCTCCAAGCATCTCCCTCGTTGGTTGTATGGCCTGCTAGTTGTCTATGTAACCCCTCATATTCTGCGAGTGTCAGAATTTAGTGTAATCAGTCGACCACAAAGAGGAGTGGGGAGAGATACGCTAAGGTCCGACATAAGCGCTAATTTGTATCGTTGCAGTCGTATCAGTTTCTATTACTATCAGTGAAGCTAGATTTATGCTTCGCTAAAGTAGATGCACATCAACGAGGAGTTTGAAGTAAGACGGCGATAAGCACCGTGACTATGGGGTCAGATCTATTCCTCTTCAGACGCGGAACCTGCATGCGTCTTCTTACTGCATATCTCATCTTATTACCATCCAGTTAGATCAATGTCTATGTCATGGAATCAGCCCAACCCTCGCCCCATTCCTCGAACAGAGCGTCAACCACAAGCTGCGGTGAGGACATCTCCATCTGGGAGGTCGTCGTCTTCAAGAGCCATCTCCTCCGATAGCTCCTGCATAGCATACATATGTTGAAGCTGTATAACTGTGAGGTTCTGACAGGCGCAGATAACCCAGAGCAGTACGAGCTCTGCCAGCTCCGCCATCTCGGCGGGCTGGTCCCGGATCCTTTTGAGGGCGTCTGAGTAAGTATCATTCAGAGTTCCTGGAAGAGAGGCCAAAGCCAAGCGCACAGCCTTCCGATTGATTTTCGGGAGGAGCGACTCGAGATGTAGCTTAGCGAGAAGAAACCTAGTATCCACATATTAACGTCGTCAGTCCTCGGTGTCATATATTACCGGTTGCATACATTCCCTGGCACTCCCCCGTGATGGAAATAATGATGTGTCTTCTCAAGTCTGGCTCGGCTCGAAGATGCTTGGATAGGCTCGACAGCGTGGGGAGCCGTGCAATCTCCGAATCCAAGAATAGTTCAACGTCTTCGTCCCGAGCCGAGATTTCTACCTTTTCGATGGAATTGAAATATGCGTCAAAGGTTGTGGAGAAACGTGAGCTACACATAATTTTAACATTTGAGCCAACGGAACTAATGGTGGATAGAAACCACAAAGGGTTATTCTCACTCTCGCTGTATTCGTCTAGAGCATCGATCACGATGAAGGTTGTTTCATATTCGAGGGTCATTTTGGTGAATATATCGAATAACTCCTTCCAGGTAGGGCCGGTACCAAGTCTCTTATGCGAATTATAAAGCGAGGATATTTCAGATGGCACTGTCCCGCTTTTCGCGTGTCGAAGTACTTGCAGCAGCAAGCTTGAAAGAAGAGCAACAGGGGTCTGTTCGTTTCGGCGTCCATACCTACAATAGATGTACGTACAGAGAGCGTTTCTCGAGGCCAGCTTATGCTCGAGCGTATCAACAACGATAGACCTGATACGATGCATTAGCTGTCAATGCAACATCTGAGGGACATATTCCAAGCAAATCAAAGAACAATAATAGATACATATATATGAATGAGAATAGATGAATAAAATACTTAGTCAATGTACTAACATTAGTCGTGTTTTACCAGCGCCAGCTAGCAAACTGGAGTTAGCTTCCCCAGAGTGTTAAAAATCTCAGTACTTACGTATGCCTGGACACCAAAGCATGCTGATATTTCCTTCAAGCCAATTGCAAACTTTCTCGTGTTTCATAAACCAGCCACCGGTTCCCGCCTGCACGGTCTCCAAGATTGCATCATGTTGCTTACGGAAGGGAAAAGGGCTAAGCCAGAGCAAGATCCTCTCGTTCAGCTCTTCCTCGTCCTTCAATTGTGTTTGGCTGACCTTCTGCCCGATTTCTGTAAGTTCTCTATGCGACGACTGCACCATTTTTCTGACGTCCTGTAATCAGCACTATGCCAAATATTGAAGACAAGCCGAGCATCTGTGGGACAGGACACCGTACATCAGGTCATTCTGCAAGATGAGACTGAGACTACCCTTTAGTCGCTCCAAGCAAGCCAGCTTCTCCGTGATATCCTTTTTTGTGAATGGCCATGTCAAAGACATCTATCGTTGACCGAACTTGGGCAGAGCCGTGAGATGATGTCTTGCAGCACACTCTGAACAAGAACGAGGAGACCATCAAGACCCACAAGAGACTCGGTCAATATGGACTTTCCCATGCCTAAAGTTACGGCCGCGTCCTCAGCATCATCAATACGGTCACTAAGCATTTCGAGCAGGTAGGTGGTGCTTCGTATCTCATCCCGCAACTGGAGTCGGTCTGCTGCTCCATGTTTAATTTCCCTGAGATAGCGGGTTGTGGTGGCTGCCAGTTCAAGGACGGCTATTACACTTGCGGTGATACTCAGAGGGTCGCTCATAGTGCGTGATCAAGCACTGCCAGGTCATTTCTTGCATCGAATGATATCCTGAAGGTTATATCCTGCCGGTCGAATAATCGGTCGTGTTGTTAAGGCTTGGGGGCGTTAGGCTACACGAGAGGTTCGGCTGAGTGAGGGGGTATTGGGCACTCTTAGCGGCCCAATGCGACGGATGGGCGGCTAGAGCCAGAGATGCTAACAATTTAGACGAGACAAGGAATAAAACACAGCCCTAGAACGGTACTCAAGACCAGCATTCGAAAAAAGTCACTTTTATATGGCCCGCTTTTGTAGGTTCCACCCAGTTGGGCATGCAGTAGTACTACTACCATCATACCAAAGATATACTTCTCAATCCAGTGCGGTTGTGAACCTCACAAAAGGTATCGATGACATGATTCAAGTAAAATGATCACTATACTTTGTCTTATTATCACATGATCCTGATGATTGAGACATCTTTCCTAAAAAGAGGCAGTTCTGGCATGATGGCACTTACAGGGATCGGGCGGAGATATGTTGAATCAGAATCGAGCCTAATAAGCTAGAGAAAGCACACTACGAGTTTGCTGAGAAGACTACGTAGTACTACGGTATCCTTTCCAGTTATTAGACTTATAATATGGTGCTACCCCGTCCACTCAGCCTTGTGCCCCTTGCTGGACGCAGCCGACTGGATTTTGAACCGTGAGCAAGCCGTTTCTTTATACAACAAAATGCGCGTGGGTAGATTGGGACAAAAGACATTCATAATATGGGTTAAATATGCTCTGTTCCCCTCCATTCCTGAGTTTTCCTTATATGATGGCCCCGATTAGGGCATAAATTAGGAGTATGAGTTCAGTGGGAATATTTCCTGATGAGGAAACATTATTCCTATCCCAGTCCGTCCATTCTTTGACTTTGAATTACGTCGACAGTGATAGCGCTCACCATCAGTGATTTCGCTGCGAATAATATGTTCGCAAGTATTATACTCAACAGGCCCCCGGCAGTCACACTAGAAAGTCTGTTTTCGGCAGCGCAATCAACAACTAATTTTTGTTTTCGTAGGCCCATATCGGACTCCGGCGGACTTAGCCCTATACCCCTGCTGTTTTGATATGCGACAGTCTGGTACAAAGATAAGCAGACAATACCAAGCTTTCCCCATTGCTCTTGTAACATATTTATAACTCTTCACTATGGATATATAGCTGGCCATACCATTATTCCCTCATCACTCCAAGCAACCACCCCCAAATCACCAACACTACAATGTCCGACATCAACCACCAAACCTACCACGCCCGCCTCGAGCAAATCCAGCGCATCGCGCAACACCACTCCCTCCAAATCACCACCATCACCCCAATCGCATACCAAGAACTCGGCCCCTGTCCCTACAACAACTTCATTTACAAGCACGAACTATCCCAGCCCCCTTCAAGCACCTCATTCCACCCCCCAAACCCCTACACCACCTCCCCCCCAGACAGAACAACAACAACCTACATCCTCCGAATGAGCAACCCCCTAGCAATGGGCATCAACCCACACGCCTCCCGCATCGAGAACGAACTCGCCGCCATGTCTCTCGCTCGTCAGGGACTCGAATCACATCGTCCCGGATTAGGCTCTCTCATTCCCAGAATACATACCTTCTGCTCAAAGCCCACTCATCCAGATGACTTACCCTGGACACTAATGGAATACAAATCCGGCGTACCACTAGACGAGTTCTTCCCTTCTCAGTGGGATTCAATCAAGAAATCAACCATCGAGCAGGTCGCAGATATACTCGCTGGACTCCGGAACTGTCCACTCCCATTGGGGATCACCTACGGTGGACTCGCTCTATCCTCTACCGATGGCAGAATCATCAGTGCGGAGATGACCACCACGAATGGTGGACCGTGGCCTACCTACGAGGCACTGCTTAAAGCACGCCTACGGCACGAGCTACACGATGCTGACTCCAGCCCTATCATTAACGGATGGCGAAGCAATGGAAATGGAATCCGAGACCGCCTCGACTCCCTCATCGACAAATTTCCCTCTCTGACCTTCTTTCGGACCCTGATACCAGAGTCCTCGTCCACGGTGACCTGAGTAATCCTCTCCAAACCCCACAGACCACCCCATCTACCCATTAAGATACTAACTAACACGACATCCAAGCAATGAACAACATCCTCATCGACCCCACCACATGCAAACTCACAGCCCTCATCGACTTCGACTTCGCCTGCATTGCCCATCCCGCTCACGAGTTCCTCGTCTCGCTTCAGGATCTAGGCGGTAATGTAATGGGTCCTTACGGGGAGGATCCGACGGAGGGGAAGTTGGCGCAGGCTCTGCTTTCTGGGGGGTTTAGTGATGGTGATGTTCCTGGTGAGCTATGGTGGATTGGGAAGACGTTTAATGCTTGTTTGGCGGAACGGGGGGTGGTCACGGCCTAGTGATATCGGTGGAATGGAGGTGCTGTGTCGGTGGCGTGGGCTGGAGCAGTGCGTGTGTCCGTTTCATTTGGCTGCGGAGTTTATTGTGGGGAGGATGAGTGAGGAGGCACGGGCAGGGGCGAGAGAGGGGGCGGAGGGGGAGGTTGTGGAGAGGATGGAGGGGTTGGAAGGGTTTTTGTAGTGGGTTTTAGTGGATTAGGGAGTGTATGGGGTGGTGTTGTGGATTCCCCCGAAGTATGCTGTGTTCTGTTGAAGTGTTGGCAGACAAAAGGCATTGTAGGTGTAGATTTCTACAATCTAGGTCAAGCTTACTGCATATCGCTTTCATATCTCAACGCAGTCGACCAGCCCGCAGCTAACACAACATGACAGGAACTTGTATGGATTTTAAACGCCCGGAAGCCCTGTCCATAAGGTAGAAAACTAAATTCCGAAATTGAAACATGTCCAACCGATAGCTTATCCTCCTAGCCTAACGCCCAATTGTACTCATTACGAATCATGCTACACCGATAATCATGCTACCACCGTCTACCATACACCGAGTCTTCACCGCGAGAACTTCGTTTCGCCTGTTGACGGCTTCGATCGCGGGAGCCAGAGGTCTGCGTCTCACTGGCATATGTTGAACCCGAGGCGCTATCAGCGCCGGAATTCAGCAGCTTCGTTGTCTGATTCAGGTCGAGATCGGGGTCGCTGTTGTAACGTGCTTCGGCGTCCTTGCCAAATAGAGCCATCATATCCTTCATCGTCAGCTTGGCTGCTGCGGTCTTGCCTTCAATGGTAACGTTGGCCAGCTCGCGCTTGCGATCTTGCAGATCGATAATTCGTTCCTCCACGGTACCCTTGATGATCATCTTGTAGATCTTGACGTCTACTGTCTGATTCAGACGATGGACTCGGTCAATGGCCTGCTCTTCAACGAACTAGAAGGGATTAGCATATGTCTTTCCGAGGGATAGTGGTAAACTTACAGGATTCCAGAAAGGCTCTAGAATGACCACACGACTTGCGGCAGTCAGGTTCAGTCCCAGCGCACCAGCGCGTAAACTGCAGAGAAGAACCCTTGTGCCACTGTTGTTCCGCAGCTTGTTGAGACTGGCCTCTCTATGATCGTTTCGCATGCCTCCGTCATATCGTGCGTATCCGATTCCGGTGCGCTTCAGGAATGGCTCGATCTTGTCAAGCATGGAGGTAAAGACCGAAAAGACAATGAACTTGTGGTCTGATGACTCCCGCCTCAAAATCTTCATTAAACGCCGGATCTTCGTCGAAGGCAGGATCTTGTTGTCATCGTCTCCTGCATTCAGGTAAATGTCGTCATCGTCAGACTCCACCTCAGGGCTTCGGCGACTGATGCCCGTTGGCTTGCGAGAGGGAGACTCAGGCCCATCGTCGTCACTGTCAGAATCGTCCGAATTCAACCATTCACCACCACCCTCTGCGTCTTCATCATCGGTGCCTCCAGCTGTTCCAAGGCTCGACTTTCCGCGCTGAGCTTCCGGAACAATCCACTCGCCGTCGTCCTCATCTTCATCGTCGCTATCTAGCACTACTCGTCGGTTTCTCCGCCGGATGACCTGCGGCTCTCCGCGGTGGGCCGATGGAGACTCTGTTAGATCGATAATTGACCTGCGGTCACTCTTCTTCTTCTTGCCGGTATTAGTCAGGTCGGCATCCAACGCGACCTCGCACTCTTTACACCTGCTATTACCGCCAGACGCCTCCTCTTTCTTCAAATCCATTTGGCAGATATCACACTTCTTGGACACAACACTCAGTGCCCCAAAAAGGTCTGCCATGCTGTCCAGCTCATCATTTTTGGCGGGCTTCTGGCTGCCTGATTGCCCGTTTTGCAGGAGAACGTCCTTGTCCTGAGCAAGGTCGCTCTTAACAAGGTCGGGGTGGTTGCAAGATTGCCGAAGACGCAACAGCAACACCAAAGCGCCAGCATAGTCGACCTTCTCACCACCCATCATCTTCTCGAGACTGTTTTCTGTTCTCTGCTCCAGGCGCTGGTAGAAGTTCATCTCGCCCGGCATAAAGTCCGCTTCGACCTTGATAACCTCTCGCTTGACGATGTGGAAGCCAGAGGACTTCTTCTCCCCGTCCTTACCAGGCTTGAGGTTGTCATTCTGCTTCAGAATATCCTTCGTGCGCCGCTTCATGAAGATCTTGAGATAGATCTGCAAACGCTCTATGGCTAGACCTCCACGGCCGTTCGCTATTGGCTTCATAATTTGCTCTTTCCATGCCGCCAGATCATTGAACGGCTTGATACGTAGGAATTTGATCAAGCTCTGTAGTTCGTCAAGGTTGTTCTGCATTGGCGTTCCCGAAAGGCACCAGCGGTACTCTGCATCCAAAGAGTAGGCAGCTTGTGTTGCTTTCGCGTTGCGGTTCTTGATTGTGTGGGCTTCGTCCAGAATTATCCGGTACCAGTAGACGGAGAAGATGGGGGATTTCTTATTGTTCTTGTCCTTTGCACCATGCTCTGAGGTCAAGGTACCATACGTGGTAATAACCACATCATAATCCTCAAGCTTGTCCGTGCCCTTAGTCCGTGCGTTTCCGTGGTATACCAGAACCCGCATTCTGTGCGAGTGTTCAACCTTATCGCTGATCTCAGACTCCCACTGCTTGATCAGGGCTAGGGGAGCGACGACCAGAGTCGTCTTGCTCAGTCCAGCCGGTAGTTTGCGGTTTTCTTTCTCTTCTTCATCGTCACTGCTCGCATCCTCGTCCTCGACATCAGCCAAGGGTCGCCTGAGACCATCGGCGGGCTTTCTGTTGGATAGCATCAGAGCAATAGCTTGAACAGTTTTACCGAGACCCATGTCGTCTGCCAATATTCCACCCTTGGGAAGCACTCCCTTGGTCTTCTTCCGGCCAGTCTCTTTGTCGCACATCCAATTGACTCCTTCCCGCTGATGAGGCAGTAACTTGACCTTCAAGCCTTCCACTGTCCCATCATCTTCCTCTTCCTCCTCTTCTTCTTCCTCTTCATCGTCATCTTCCTCATTCTCCGATTCAACTTCACTAACATCTTTCTCTGCCACCTCCTTGACTTCCACGACTTCCTTGACCTTCTGCTTCACAGGGGACTTGTTGGACTCGGTTTCCGATTCATCAGTGCTCTCATCCGCAGTATTGGATTCCTGTACAGTTACAGTTCCCAACTGGGCAGCAAGATCATCGATGTCGGCGTCCGACTCCTTCTCCTGGGACTTCTTCTCGGACTTCTCTTGCTTCTTTTCCTTGTTCTTCTTCTTCTTACTCTTCGACTTGGGTTCCTTCTCCTCTTCATCCTCAAAAGCACCCTCTAACAGAGCCTTGATATTCTCATTCGCCTTGGCCGTATCCACATAACCGTTGACATCCATAGAGCCGAATCCCGGACCCCGAGATCGCACACTCGGCGTAAACCCACCCTCACCAGTCAAGTCGACAAAGTTCCTCAAGTTCTTCGATGCGTTCGTCATCTTAACGGCAGAGGGCTTCGAGGCGAAGAATGTCTTGGGGGCACGGGGTGTATTGAATGTGAAGTTCTCTGGGCGTCGAATCTCAACAGCTCCACTGTCGACCGGGCGGGAGAAACGGTTATTGTTGTACGCAGACGGTCTAACGGGCTTAAATGGGTCAAACCCTTCCCTTCTGGGGGTTGAGAAGTTATTAGGCCCTGGAGTAGTGGGGGGACGATATTGCGGGGCACCATTGTGCGCAGGATTCTGAGGCCGAGGCTGTTGTCTGTGATGCTCCGGACGTTGGTGGTTCGGTTTGGGGATGTTGAATGGGTTGCTAGAGTGGTGACTCTGATGATGCACTGGGCGAATAGGAGATGGCTTTCCGAACTCAGGATGATGTGACATAGGACGATGGGGTTGTTCTTGCGGCCTTCTGGGCGTGAAGGGGTCCGCGGGGGCGTCGCTTTCTTTGGCCATGGTGTATTATTCTGGTGAAACTTCCTTCTGAAGCTAGGTGGTGGCGGCTAATCGTCGTGTGCCGAGGGACACAGTGGGGGGTATCAGAGGCTGTATTATCGAGATCTAGGTTGCATAGATATAGTGTTTCTATCGTGATTATGGCGAGTAAGATCTTTTCTGTTCTTGTAGACGAGGCAGACTGTCAGCCAGCACATCACGTCACGCGGGGTTGTATCGAGACTCTCGCTATCAACTCTTATCTCGGTATGAAAGGATAGAGGGGATATGAGTTGCCTACCTATCTGAATCAGGTCATAATATTGCAAAAGAGGCTAGAAAGGGCGAAATCTGGAGTAGTGGGAGGGGCTTTGGACGTGTTGACGGAGATCGGCTCTGTTTAGCGCTGGCATGCCACATTTTATCGATAGCGCTATCGCTCGGTTTGCCCGCATTGCCCCAGCAACCACCGCCCACCCAGCGGGGTGACAGGTCACACAACAGCTTCAGGTACACACAGCAAGTACGAATCCACCTCCACGAATTACATTGGATTAATCCTGAAGCTTATGTGCGGGAAATATTGATCTAGGTCCGCAGTCCCATTTGTCTAACTCAGGCAAAAAGTCTGAGTCACAGTAGTGATCAACTAACTGAGGTTGCCTGTTTGTATTCCTTCCCGCTGCCATGAATACAGTAAGCTATGGATTGACATTCTCCGTAAACATTACTCTATGAAAGTTACTAAGCTATCTGTGACAGTAGTCCTATAAAATTAGAGTCATTCTAGATCTGCGCAGTAAAAGACATTTGAAGCTATTATAAGATATTTCAGAATTCTCTGTACTCTGTTCACCTATAGAATAAATAGTAGCAAAGATGATTATATATCGCCAATCACCCCCTTCAAAATTTCCGGAACAACTGTACCTGCATCACCCTCAAAAAACCAATCTCCAGGTTTCAACCCCGAAGAGCCAACATCGTTGCGGTCCATATTTACCACTGCCACTCTAGCTCCTCTACTGCGAGCCTTATCCACATATCCTGCCGCAGGGTATACCCTCGAACTTGTACCTACTACCAAGATCAAGTCAACATTTCCGTTGTTCAACCATTCGTCCACATAATCAATTGTATGTAATGGGAGACTCTCTCCGAACCACACCACCCCAGGGCGTAGAAGCCCGTCTTTGCATTCCGGGCAGTGGGGGAGCTCTTCATAAGGCACTGCGGAAAGAGGAACACGCTCGTCCGACACATCAGCCTCCACATCCTCATTGTTCCCTAGTGCACTAGAGATGGATCGAGAAGCCTCTTCGCCCGTTTTATCTGTTGCGGATGGTTCTAGCTTCTTTGGCAAAGCGAGAGCGGGAACAATTGGGTCGGTGAAGTCTTCGCGGGAATAGCTGCAATAGAATGATGTGCATTTCACTGTGAAGAGGGAGCCATGAAGAAGGTGAAGTTGATGCGGCGGGTGCCTAGCTCGTTGCGAAAGACCTGAGTATATCAAGCAACTGATTAGTCGAGTACCACTTCGGGGCAAGACATGATTTCAACTCACCATCAACATTCTGACTCAGTGTAATGAAGTCCTTGTTCTTTCGGGCAAGCTCAGCCAGAGCATAATGCGCACGGTTGGGCTGTGCCTTTAGAGCCATGTGCCTCCGATAACTGTAAAATTGCCATACTAAGTCTGGGTTGGCATCGAATGCCTCGGGCGTTGCCAGGTCCGTCGCGTCGTATGATCGCCATAGACCACCCGCTCCTCGAAAAGTGGGAAGACCTGATGACGCAGAAATACCGGCTCCTAATAACGCAATCACTCGCCTGCAGCCTTTCAGGTAGGTGGTGAAAGAGCTGAGGTCTGCTGCGGGGATAGCCGGAGGAGCCATGGCGGGCTAGAAATCGGAGAGAGACTCTAGACTGGGCACGACACTGGATATAGGATAATCATGTGTTATCGCAAGGTTAATATGGTGTGTATTTGTGGGAAAGAATGTCTGTTTCCCTCAGAAGGGAGAGGTTGTGTGTCGAGTCAGTCATTTGGAGAAGTTGTAGCTAAGTTGAAGTTCTGCGGAGTCGGCCTTACGCTAATGGTACCGATGACGTGGGGTCGCCTTGAAACTATGCAATCGTGCCTTATACTTTGTATAATTATTTCGTCAGGTGAACCGAACAATAAGTTTAGTTTATCAAGATATCTTCTGGTGTTTATTAAGAATCTGATACGGGACAAATGGTTTATCTATATTACCACCCCTGTGTTGTGCAGATCAGAGGTACACAGCAGCAAGGCTACAATACCCCGCAGGGTCCAATGCTGGGCAATTTATACTTTCTCCCCACAATAGAACAGCAGAAGTTAACTATATGAAGCAGGAATGCCAGAGCATTTATAAGTACATCACTCGCACACTATCCCGTTCAACAATCAATGTTGCTCCTCTTGTGGCAGCTCAATTCCCACGGCCTTCTCCGCATAAGCACGATTTTCATCGTTCTTCGCAGCAACAAATGACTTCACATAGCTTGGTACTTCAGCAACCTTGTTCCCGGTGCTGGGTATAGGCTCGCCAAATGTCTCCCAAACAGGGACAACGCCAGTCCAAACTCGATTCGTGATCTCTTCACTGCCTGTATCTTTCTTCTCATCCGAGACGCTACCATCTCGAATCTTACCACTGCCGCTCATGATCTTAACCTTGAGGATAACGGTCGAGGACATTTCCGCACGGTCTGGTGGAACACGCGTATGCGCCCAACGATCCGATAGCACCGAGTTGGTGATCAACTCCATGGCGTAAAGTTTCTCGGCTTCGTCAGTAACCAACTTAGCATAACCTTGGAGAATTGCAGATCGATAGTTGTAGCTATGGGAGTTCGGTGTCAGAGACAAGATCAACCCGTCGACCTTGCTAGCAGCCACGCAGATTGGTAGTCCTTCTCCTTCGGCATCTCGAGCCAGGTTCATGATGCGGGAGCTGACATAGCCATGAAGATAACAGTCAAGGGGTTCGTCAATGCTGGCTGAAGGGTAGTCGAATGATCCCATTTGTCCGATCATAGGCAGGATTGCAGGGAAGGGCTCCGATGGTCCGGGGCTGAAGGATACATGGAGAACTTGAGTGGAGTCGATGATTTCATGAATGGCGCCCAGGTCATAAGTTGCTGCGGTCTCTTAGTAAAGTCCTTCGACGCAAAGTTAGGGAGTGAAGCGAAGTATACCTCGATGCTTGTAGCGGTTGACCGTGTTCGAGGGCCGCTTGGGGTATGTTAAGGTCCTTGGCATTTTTGAATTTGACGAATCGAACAATATATACGATGAAGAACTGACTACTAAATACCGTCTAGCATAGAAGTAATGGAGCACTCGAGTGAGCAACGAATTCTCCTTAGATCTTCAATGGAGTTTACTTCTACTATATATATATATATTGTACCCAATCTTGGCATATCATTGACGTGACTCAAAGGCCAACTTGAGTCATCGAGTAATCCCATCGAAAAACAACCCAACCCTTGGGATCGTACTGCACTGGCCCAAACTCCTCCGACATCTCGTGGTTGTGGTACGCTGTACAAGACCGAGATAAGAAAGAAGGTGGGAAGGAATCGCAGATTCCAGCCTATCCAGACAAGCGGAGTATGCGAGTCTATCGCAAACCCCTCAGCGTTGATTGGTCACTGCCGCCGACCGGGGCTGCCAGCCTGAGGCATTCAGCGAACGGGCTAAACCAAGGGACGCTCGGAGGTCTCGCAATCACCGCCGACCTTCCGAACCAAACGCGGGCCAGATAGCCAGTCTTTATTTCGACAAAGCTTGCCAACACCTTCAATGGTGCTGCTATAACGATGTCGACATGCAAAGCAGCCATTCGCCAATGGCCTCGTTGCCTTCGTCGCCAGGCACCTCGAATCTCCCTCTCGCATCTTAGTCGGCCGGTGCTCCAACAGCCTGCTCTTCGCCGTACTTACGCTTCGATCTCCGCCGCGGAGCTCAAATTCGGCCAACCGCTACACGAGACACACCCCCATATACTGGAACCGGGAGAGCGTGCGTAACATCACTTCAGTTCCCGCGGATTTCAATGACGCATATTATATACGGTATTAACGCATCTCAAAGTGACACCCGGAATAACGGCTCTCGAGTACGCCCAGCGCCGATCTCGTCTCGCGAACAAACTACCCAAGTATGCTGTCGCGGTGCTGGCTGCTGCTGAGGTTACGTACCGGGCTTCAGGCATCTTCAATGAATACCGACAGGACTCGAATTTCTTTTACTTGACCGGTGGGTGGTACATGGTGTCCTTGTTTACAGGCAACAGAAATGATTGACATAGCTCTTTGTGGATAGGGTTTAACGAACCTAATGCGCTGGCTGTCATCGGTGAGCTCTAACTACAACATTCTGTTTGGGAATTGGCGCTCATTATAAGCAGCGAACGACGGATCCGGGAACAACCATCTCTTCCACCTTTATTGCAGGGAGAAGGATGCGAAGGCGGAACTTTGGGACGGTGCTCGTTCCGGTACCCGCGCGGCGATTGATGTCTTCAATGCGGATGAAGTAAGAGTTTACTTTGCTAATCTTTCTTGGTCGCCACTAACACTGCGCTGGTAGTCCGGTGACATCGAACGTATTGGGGACCTTCTTCCTAAGATCCTTGCGGATGCGACAGAAATCTACACCGACATTCCCGCTTTCAACCCTGGACGGTCATCTCTGCATCGGTACCTCTATGGTCCTACGGGAGCTTCCGAAAAGCTCAAGAAGATAGTCGACCACCGCAAGGTTAAGCCTTTGCGCTCCATCCTTAATGAAATGAGAGTCTTTAAGAGCGAGGACGAGGTCGTGCAGTTGCGTCGTGTTGGACAGGCTTCTGGAAGGGCGTTTACGGAGTCTATGAGGCAGACGTTCTCCAAGGAAAAAGATCTGACTGCTTTCTTGGAGTATAACTTCAAGCGCAATGGCTGCGATAACAGCGCCTTTGTTCCAGTCGTTGCAGGCGGTTCTGTAAGTCACCTATTGGGAAGGTATTGGTATCGTGCGACTAACGTGTGTAGAACGCCCTGAGCATCCACTACACAAGAAACGATGACGTTTTGAGGTATGTGCCGCAAGAACCATTGTCATTGCAATACTCATACATTACAGGGACGGGGATATGGTCCTAGTTGACGGAGGTGGTGTACGTGTATCTCATACGTCTGTCGATTACCGAGACTAACTGGTTGATAGGAGGCAGGCACTTACATCTCCGACATCACGAGAACCTGGCCAGTGAACGGCAAATTCTCTGACCCTCAGCGCGACTTGTACAATGCCGTGCTGAATGTGCATCGCAGCTGTGTCTCGCTGTGCCGCGAAGATGCTGGGCTCAGCCTGGACCGGCTGCATAGCGTTGCGGAGACCGGCTTGCGGGACCAGCTGATACAACTCGGGTTCGATGTTTCCGGAGGCGTAGGTTTTCCAGTCTGTCACAAGGTCTTTTCGATGCTAACCAAGATTAGGCCATGGGCATTCTCTTCCCTCACCACCTGGGCCATTATATTGGTCTGGACGTGCACGACTGCTCCGGGTATTCCCGGGGATATAATCTCAAGGCAGGCCAATGTATCACTGTGGAGCCGTACGTATCGACGCCTTTCTGTGAGGTTGAGCATGCTAACAATCGGTGCAGTGGCATCTACGTTCCAGATGATGAGCGGTGGCCGGCACGGTTCCGGGGCATTGGCATCCGGATTGAAGACAGTGTTTGTGTTGGAGATGACAGTCCCATTGTATTGACCACGGAGGCAGTTAAAGAGGTAAGCGAGCTTTCCCAGTAGTGAAAGACGTGTTACCGTGGTTGTGGTGACGAACTATTGGGCTGACTGACGAATCTGCCATCTAGGTCGATGATATCGAGGCCCTTCGTGATTAAGATGGACGAGGGCCGAAATTGTGTAAAGCTAGATACCCTTGCATAAGATTGTAACATATATAACATAGTGAACCGAAATTTGGAGGTATAGCAAACAAAATGGCCGAGTTGAGCAAGAAGTAAACAGAGACAAGCCGGTTTTGGTGCTTCGTGTGGCTCGTGTAGACGTCACCAGTCAGCAGTCAGCACTTAAGCGTGGACGCGTGGGGCGTGAATACAGGTACTACTACTTCAGTATAGAGGAAGCAGAGGAGGTTGGAATAGACGTGCCAATTGTTACACAAAAGGCACAATCAGCAAACTCAATCATTCAGAGACTCCCTCACTTAAGAAAAGGGATATCTGTGCAGATTGTTTCTGAAGGGTAACCCCAGCAAGCCCCAGAGAGGAATGAATGAGAGGAGAAGAAAGAATGGTTCCTGCTGCGCGCCGGGCGGTGGTTGTCCGGCGCACATCCCGGAGCCAAAACAAACCCGCCGGGGCTCCACCGACCTTCCCTGACACGCTTAGTCGTTTCTCTACTAGTCTAGTCGGGCTTGGTCTCTCTTCTCTTTCCATCATCACCACCACCACCCATTCAATCTGTGTCTCCCTTAGACCCTTCTCTGTTGTCTTCCTCCCCCCCCCCCAACACTCTCACGCGGGTTTTGCTGCATTGCTTCCCCTTCTCCCAGGGCATGGCTTTCTGCTTCTCTCACTAACTCCCACTGCCGCTCTTTATTTGCTCATCTATCGCGTCGACAATGGCCTTTTTCTAACCGAGTAATCAACCCCCGTCGAGACGTGTAACGCATCGCGTGCTCGCCTCCAACTGCCCCTCCTTTTTCTCTTGCTGGTGTCCAACTCACAGCAACTCACGCTCATATAGTGCCTTGGATTCTGTTACCACATGGCAGCTGTATTCGTACCACCTTCGCCTCGGTCTTCGCTTAATATGTCGACTCGCCGACCACTTGCCAACGTGCCGAATGCTACCAATTCCCCTCACAGGTCAGGCCTCGTGCCTGCCAAACGTCTACGTCCAACTAGTAACCAGATCGACATCCCTTACGGCCAGCCTCCCCCGAAGAAGCAGGTAGTGGACGGTCAGGAGGCGGACGCTCGTTCCCCATC